CTTTCTTTTCTCTTACTTTTCAATGCCTCTCCTGTAAACCCCATTCATCTTTTATACTTTCCTTTTTCATCTCCCAATGCCTCTCGTCCCTATACCCAGTATTTTCTCTTACTTTCACTCTCTGTAAACCCGGTTCATCTTTTATCCTTTCCTCAATGCCTCTCGTCCCTACACCCAGTCTTTTCTTACTTTCACTCTCTGTAAACCTTGTTCATCTTTTATCCTTTCCTCAATGCCTCTTGTCCCTACACCCAGTCTTTTTCTCTTACTTTCACTCTCTGTAAACCCCATTCATCTTTTTATCCTTTCCTCAATGCCTCCTCCCTATACCCAGTCTTTTCTCTTACTTTCACCTCTCTGTAAACCACGTTCATCTTTTATCCTTTCCTCAATGCCTCTCGTCCCTCAATACCCAGTCTTTTCTCTTACTTTAACTCTCTGTAAACCCCATTCATCTTTTATATTTTCCTCAATGCCTCGTCCCTTACCCAGTCTTTTCTCTTACTTTCACTCTGTAAACCCCGTTCATCTTTTATCCTTTCCTCAATGCCTCTCCTCCCTATACCCAGTATTTTCTCTTACTTTCACTCTCTGTAAACCCTGTCGTTCATCTTTTATCCTTTCCTCAATGCCTCTCCTCCCTATACCCAGTCTTTTCTCTTACTTTCACTCTCTGTAAACCCCATTCATCTTTTATCCTTTCCTCAATGAGTCTTTTCTCTCCTTTACCCACCCTTTTCTCTTATCCTTTTCAATGCCTCTCCTCCCTAAACCCCATTCATCATTTTATCCTTTCCTCAATGCCTCTCTCGTCCCTATACCCAGTCTTTTCTCTTACTTTCACTCTCTGTAAACCCCATTCATCTTTTATACTTTCCTCAATGCCTCTCGTCCCTATACCCAGTCTTTTCTCTTACTTTCACTCTCTGTAAACCCCATTCATCTTTTATCCTTTCCTCAATGCCTCTCCTCCCTACACCCAGTCTTTTCTCTTACTTTCACTCTCTGTAAACCCCATTCATCTTTTATCCTTTCCTCAATGCCTCTCGTCCCTATACCCAGTCTTTTCTCTTACTTTCACTCTCTGTAAACCCCATTCATCTTTTATCCTTTCCTCAATGCCTCTCGTCCCTATACCCAGTCTTTTCTCTTACTTTCACTCTCTGTAAACCCCGTTCATCTCTTATCCTTTCCTCAATGCCTCTCGTCCCTATACCCAAGTCTTTTTCTTACTTTCACTCTCTGTAAACCCCATTCATCTTTTATACTTTCCTCAACTCCCTATAAACCACGTTCATCTTCCATTCATCTTTTTCCTCAATGCCTCTCCTCCCTATACCCAGTCTTTTCTCTTACTTTCACTCTCTGTAAACCCCGTTCATCTTTTATCCTTTCCTCAATGCCTCTCGTCCCTACACCCAGTCTTTTCTCTTACTTTCACTCTCTGTAAACCCCATTCATCTTTTATACTTTCCTCAATGCCTCTCGTCCCTATACCCAGTCTTTTCTCTTACTTTCACTCTCTGTAAACCACGTTCATCTTTTATCCTTTCCTCAATGCCTCTCTCCCTACCCAGTCTTTTTCTTTTCACTCTCTGTAAACCACATTCATCTTTTATCCTTTCCTCAATGCCTCTCCTCCCTATATCCAGTCTTTTCTCTTACTTTCACTCTGTAAACCCCATTCATCTTTTTATACTTTCCTCAATGCCTCTCCTCCCTATATCAGTCTTTTTTCTCTTACTTTCACTCTCTGTAAACCCCGTTCATCTTTTTATACTTTCCTCAATGCCTCTCGTCCCTATACCCAGTCTTTTCTCTTACTTTCACTCTCTGTAAACCCTGGTTCATCTTTTATCCTTTCCTCAATGCCTCTCCTCCCTATATCCAGTCTTTTCTCTTACTTTCCTCTAAACCCCGTTCATTTTTATCCTTTCCTCAATGCCTCTCCTCCCTACGCCCAGTCTTTTTCTATTACTTTCACTCTCTGTAAACCCCATTCATCTTTTATCCTTTCCTCAATGCCTCTCGTCCCTATACCCAGTCTTTTCTCTTACTTACCTCTGTAAACCCCATTCACTCTTTGTAAACCCCGTCTTTTTTCATCTTTTATCCTTTCCTCAATGCCTCTCCTCCCTATACCCAGTCTTTTTCTTACTTTTCACTTTTCTATGGCCTGGTTCATCTTTTTTATCCTTTCCTCAATGCCTCTCCTCCCTATATCCTGTCTTTTTCTTACTTCACTCTCTGTAAGCCCCGTTCATCTTTTATCCTTTCCTCAATGCCTCTCGTCCCTATGCCAGTCTTTTCTCTTACTTTCACTCACTGTAAACCACGTTCATCTTTTATCCTTTCCTCAATGCCTCCTCCCATACACCCAGTCTTTTTCTCTTACTTTCACTCTCTGTAAACCCTGTTCATCTTTTATCCTTTCCTCAATGCCTCTCCTCCCTACACCAGTCTTTTCCTCTGTAAACCCCATTCATCTTTTATCCTTTCCTCAATGCCTCTCGTCCCTAAACTTTTCTCTTACTTTCATCTTTGTATACTTTCCTCAATGCCTCTCGTCCCTATACCCAGTCTTTTCTCTTACTTTCACTCTCTGTAAACCCCATTCATCTTTCCTCAACTTTCCTCAATGCCTCTTTTCGTCCCACTCCTGTAAACCCATTCATCTTTTCTCTTACTTTCACTTTCTCTGTAAACCCATTCATCTTTTTTTCATCTTTTCCTACTTTCCTCAATGCCTGTTGTTCATCTTTTCCCTTTCCCAATGCCTCCCTCCCTTTTCTCTTACTTTCACTCTCTGTAAACCCCATTCATCTTTTATACTTTCCTCAATGCCTCTCGTCCCTATACCCCCTTTTTTCTCTTACTTTCACTCTCTGTAAACCCCATTCATCTTTTATCCTTTCCTCAATGCTGTCCCTCAGTCTTTTCCCTATTCTGTAAACCCTGTTCATCTTTTTATACTTTCTTTTCTCTTCCCTACACCCAGTCTTTTTTTCTTACTTTCTCTCTGTAAACCCCATTCATCTTTTTATCCTTTCCTCAATGCCTCTCCTCCCTACACCCAGTCTTTTCTCTTACTTTCACTCTCTGTAAACCCCATTCATCTTTTTATCCTTTCTCAATTCCTTCGTCCCTATACCCAGTCTTTTTCTCTTACTTTCACTCTCTGTAAACCCCATTCATCTTTTATACTTTCCTCAATGCCTCTCCTCCCTATAACCAGTCTTTTCTCTTACTTTCACTCTCTGTAAACCCCATTCATCTTTTATCCTTTCCTCAATGCCTCCTCCCTATACCCAGTCTTTTCTACTTTCACTCTTTCCCCATTCATCTTTTATCCTTTCCCATTCATCTTTATATCCTTTTTCTTTCAATGCCTGTCGTCCCTATCTTTTATCCTTTCCTCAATGCCTCTCCTCCCTACACCCAGTCTTTTCTCTTACTTTCTCTCTGTAAACCCCGTTCATCTTTTTATACTTTCCTCAATGCCCTCCTCCCTAAACCAGTCTTTTCTCTTACTTTCACTCTCTGTAAACCTTGTTCATCTTTTATCCTTTCCTCAATGCCTCTCCTCCCTATACCCAGTCTTTTCTCTTACTTTCACTCTCTGTAAACCACGTTCATCTTTTATCCTTTCCTCAATGCCTCTCCTCCCTACACCCAGTCTTTTCTCTTACTTTCACTCTCTGTAAACTCCATTCACCTTTTATCCTTTCTCCCTCCCCTATACCCAGTCTTTTCTTACTTTCACTCTCTGTAAACCCCGTTTATCTTTTATCCTTTCCTCAATGCCTCTCCTATAGCCAGTCTTTTCTCTTACTTTCCTCTCTGTAAACCCATTTATCTTTTATCCTTTCCTCTGCCTCTCCCTATACCCAGTTTTTCTCTTACTTTCACTCTCTAAACCCCATTTTATCTTTTTATCCTTTCCTCAATGCCTCTCCTCCCTACACCCAGTCTTTTCTCTTACTTTCACTCTCTGTAAACCACGTTCATCTTTTATCCTTTCCTCAATGCCTCTCCTCCCTACACCCAGTCTTTTCTCTTACTTTCACTCTCTGTAAACCCCATTCATCTTTTATACTTTCCTCAATGCCTCTCGTCCCTACACCCAGTCTTTTCTCTTACTTTCACTCTCTGTAAACCCCATTCATCTTTTATACTTTCCTCAATGCCCTCGTCCCTATACCCAGTCTTTTCTCTTACTTTCACTCTCTGTAAACCCCATTCATCTTTTATCCTTTCCTCAATGCCTCTCGTCCCTACACCCAGTCTTTTCTCTTACTTTCACTCTCTGTAAACCCCATTCATCTTTTATACTTTCCTCAATGCCTCTCGTCCCTATACCCAGTCTTTTCTCTTACTTTCACTCTCTGTAAACCCCATTCATCTTTTATCCTTTCCTCAATGCCTCTCGTCCCTATACCCAGTCTTTTCTCTTACTTTCACTCTCTGTAAACCCCATTCATCTTTTATACTTTCCTCAATGCCTCTCCTCCCTACACCCAGTCTTTTCTCTTACTTTCACTCTCTGTAAACCCCATTCATCTTTTATACTTTCCTCAATGCCTCTCCTCCCTATAACCAGTCTTTTCTCTTACTTTCACTCTTTGTAAACCCCGTTCATCTTTTATCCTTTCCTCAATGCCTCTCCTCTCTATACCCAGTCTTTTCTCTTACTTTCACTCTCTGTAATCCCCTGCGTACTAGTGGCACTCTCTCTATTTTCTTGGTGCTGAAATGTTTAAAAAACTGAAGGATCAGTAAAAACCATTTTCCTTTCGGAGCCTCGCAAATACATACAAACCAAAATTGAAACAAATTAATCTCGACTTCTTTTGTCAGTGACAAAATATAACGATTAAAACATGGTAGGCGCATGTGAATAAAGCATTTATTTTTAAAATTTATGGAAACATTTCGTAATATTTTCATCCAAATTCATCACAGCGAAGGTACAAATGTAGCGCTATAAACGATAGATTTATTCATCCGACAATCTTTTCCTTGTCATATTTGCATTTAGGATCGGAACCAAACGTTTTGGCGGGAAACTTGCCATCGCATCCAAAAACCTGGCATAAAATAAAAGAAGAAAACATCAATGTGTGCTAAAACAAATATCAGATAAAAACTTTTCTTTTATGCGCCATGTCCCTTCAGGACGTTGGCGATCATGTCTCTCCACAATTTCCTGCCCTTTGTAGTACTTAGTAAATTTTGTCTTTTTGTTATCTCTCCTTAACCCTGTTCTGTCATCTATTTACACAAGTTCGTTATTATTATTCTTCGATGTGCCGCATTTCTTCAGGACGTTGTAGATCATGGCTCTCCACACTTTCCTCTTCTTTGTAGTACTTAATAAATGTTGTCTTTTCGCTATCTCTACTAAAACCTGTTCTGCCACCCATTCACACAAACTTGTTAGGTGAGTTGTGCGCTGTTTTCACCTGTCTCTCTTGCCTGTCCTTTGAGTGTCAAATTTTCCAAGCCCACTTTCCTGATTATGTACCCTAGATATTTTAACTGCTTATTTCTTATGTTAATTATAAGTGTTCTTTTGTTTCCAGTTTCTCTAAAACTTCATCTTTGCTCCCGTTCAGTCCATGGTATTCTCAGCATCCTTCGGTAGAACCACATTTTTGCTGTGTCAAATTTCTTTTTCATGTTTGAGGGGAATGTCCAGCATTCACTGTCATATAAGTGGACAGCTATCGTGTAACAGTTCAACACTCTTTTTGTTGAAGCTTGGATAAGCATGGAATAATAATAATACAACACAAAATGTACGTTAACAAAATGTATTGAAACAAGGAAAAGGTACACAATATTTACAGTTAGTTTTGGTATATTCTTGGGAAGACTGTTCCTGTAGAATGGGTTGACTTAATCGCAGTCGGGCAGAGTCTCTCGATTGGATGTCTTCTTACTTCTCCGTCTTCCGGTACCAACCCATATTTATATCGGTCGGTACTCCACTATGTAAATTAGGTGGATCGTACCACAACACTTTTCTTTGTTTCTAACAAAATTTTCCCGTTTCTTAATACTCTGCTTAGCCTTTGGGAGGCATCTTTCGTTATCCCAATGCACTTTCAAATTTCGGTGGCTCACTCTCCGTCCTACCAGCAAAAAACATTGAATAACACTTTCGCTCTGCGATTCTAAACAGAAAATCAAGATTAACTGCCTTCCAATCCATATTTAATGGAAGGGACGAATCTAATCACTTTTGATGCCTTTTAGATAAAGACAACCTTATAAACATTCAACGGGACCTTCTTTCATTATTTCATCGACCGATCAATTATCATATCAGCCAATTATTGGGCACCTGATCATAACCGGAAGGTATTGGGTCGAAACGATGTGTGTATAATAACGTCTATATCAACCAAGATGAGAACAATAGTTCGAAATAATACAAGAATATTGACAATTACACAGCTTGGCAAAAATCCCATATCAGTCAATCAATGGACACCTGATGATGACCAGAAGGTACTTTATCGAAACTTTGCGTGTATAATAACGTCTATATAACCCAAGATGAGAACAATTGTTCGAAATAATACAAGAATAGTAATGAATCCTCTTCCCCCATATATTTATCGTTATTGATAGATTAACTTCCCCAGTTTAGGCGGTAGGTAGTTAACACTTGGAATAACCTTTGATGCCTTTGACACGACTAGCAGGTCAGTTCTTTCTTTCGGTCAGCAACGATTCTCTCCAACCAACCTTCTGCCTACGTCTACAAGACAAAATGTGATTCGCAACTCATCCACTCTAAAGGGCTATCCGGAATTTTCACTGGTGAGTAGCCTACATATCGTCAGCAGGCTGTATTGGAACTATCTTTAATTCTCATTTTGACTGCGAACAGAACTTTATAACTTCCGGACAAGTGGCACTTGTCCCCGAAAGCTTTAGTTTATTTATGTTCATTTGGGTCAACTTTTGGTCAAATTCGTAAATTTTATTGTTTACTTAGTTATAAAAAATATTATATATTTCAGACACAGATAAAATCATTTATTTTCCATTTCTATGTACAACGGGTTCCATCATGTCACGCGCTTAGAATATTATTATAAATTGATTTTTTTTAACCTACTGATTCCATTTCGGTTGTCATCGTTATTAGATGAGGACCATAGTCCAGGTAATTTCGTACATGGTAATTATAAGTTCTCACCTCAAATAGAAGATGCTTAAAATATTGAATTGCTATTCTGATTCCATATATAGTAACCTCATTGGCTCCCATTGGAGGCCACAGACTCGCCACGCTAGGTGCTTCTGTTGTAATTACGTAGCAAGTATTTTTACGGGATGGAGTTGCAAACAGCTCACCCAATCGGTTTTGAATTCAGAGTTATTCTTCTCCTACACTGGTTGCCAACCAAGGCCACAGAACTATTCTCCGTTAGGTCCCTCGCACCTCCCTTAGATTTGAATACATGAGGATTCAATGAGACAACATTTATATCCTGCCGGTTTCTGGCGCGTCAGTATAATTTGTTCTTCACAAACTGATTAATTCTTTGCAAAAACCTTTAAAAAAAAGGGCGGGTTATACTATACCACTTGGTCAGAAGTGCACTCTTGGACGATTCAACAGACCCCCACCTATTTTCCCGTTTTGCAAAGACTTGACATTGAATACTGACCTGACATTTCCCGCGGAAACAGCGCATGTCTACATTCGTTCTGCTACCGACGTCGAATTCCGGATCGGGCGATGAACAAGGCGTTCCATCAGGCAAAATTGCGTCCCTACTGTTCGACTGTTTGTCATTATCACAATGAACATCACACACGTTGTCGTAACCTGTTAATAAAAATCAGGGGAGATAATTATGTTTTGATGTAAAATTAATAATAAAAAGGTGAATAAAAAGCAATTAAAAACAATACTATACATTGAGTTTGTTTATTGCTATTTCTCTTGACGGGAGTATATAAAAATTTACATTAAAAAAATGTAAATTAAATAAATGATCAAGAAAAAGGTGAAGATAAAAAAGTAATTAAATATTATAATAAACTAGTTTTGTTTATTACACTTGCTTTTAAGAGAAGGGTTTAAAAATTAAAATTAAAAGCCAAGCGATTAATAAAAAAATATTTGATGTGAAACATTCGTATTTTAAATTTTCTAAAAATAGGATGCCAAGAACAGAACCACCAAAATATAAGTCAGTCAAAGGCCGTGAATTAATTTTTAAATTTCAAAACGATATACACCTTTATATATATATATATATATATATATATATATATATATATATATATATGGGGGTATCAATTAATCAAGAGAGTAACTTCCACCCATGAAAATTTAAATGATACCACTCACCTGGAGCCTATATAGTGGCTATGTAAGATGATGAGTTACCAGAAAATATTACAAGACACAAGAAAACAGGTGTCAAATTTCGGAAGTTACAAAAGGTACCAGAAGGTTAGAACAAGTTATAAGGATATCAGAAGCAGAAGAAATTTTGGCTGTCAACAGTGGATAAACGAGGTTGTTTCTTACGGAAGATGTAAGAATCAAACAAAGACAAAAACAAAAAAGAATCAGAACCCAAGTGAAACTAGTTAAGTGAAAATTTTCCTAATAATAATCGAAGTGTGTTTAAGAAAAAGAACAAATTTGTTAAAGTCCTAGTGATTTGGGGAAACTGCCAAAGCCTTCTCAGTTTTAACTTTCAATATGTATCTGTCTTCGAAGAATGTATATTTGACTCTTTTTTTAAAAAAAGGAATTCTTCTTAAGATTTTTCAGTTTATTGAAAGTTTGCTGAATAATTTATATATTTTTAATCTGCTATATTTCTATTTTTGAATTGGTTATCTTGCCTTTAATAATAAGGCGCACAAAAGGAATTTATGTTATATTATATTATTTTTATGCCGATGTAATTAACGCTTCTTTGTTTCTCATTTCACACCAAAATTTCGGCTTTTATTTGTTTTCGAATGCGTCTGATTCAATATTCAGTATAAAAGAGATGATGTTCTCTCTTTTTCCACTCAATCTCCTAAAAGACCTTTTATTACATTTTCTTTGTCTAGTATCTTTAACTTTCTTTTTTGTTTCTTTTATTAAGAAATAGAAATAAAATATTACGATCTTTTGTTACAGAATGCGGAGGCTGGGCCAGGATGGTCATTGGTTGGTCAGAATAACTTGTGGGCGTGGTATTCTGACACTGACGGGTTGCCTTTGTCTAAGTTGTGGCGAAGTCGGCAGAAACCCACACTTTCCAGACTCAGATTCCATAGACAAGCTAAGGCCGCATGTGGTGGAATGCTAAGCTAACGAGTGAGCACAGATTTTCCCTAAGTTCTTCTTCCCGCTGCCTCCTTGAATCGAAGTTACCACTTCTTTCCTTATCGTACAATAAAACGAATAAGAAAAGTAAGTGTCTTTTATTGAGGCAGTTTATGAAGTGGCGTCGGAGTCAGCAGGGTTGAAGTCAGTGGCGATATGGAGAAAGCAGTACTATTAAAATTAGCGAGAAATAAAATCTATAAAATCCCGGGTAAGAATCGTTCATATTAAAATGAGCAGACGTACCTTTCCATCCGAAAATTCGACCAGTCATTTTATAGAAATTGGGATTCAGGAAATTGCCCTTTACTAAGCGTTTGCAAGTCTCGTCTGCCCGAGACTTGATCAGAGAGCTCGTGTCTGACGAATCGTTTACGCATGGCTGAAAATGAAATTAAAAGGAAAAATCAAATTTTAGAAGCATGAAATAAATTTGGCAGACAATATTAGTTTAGAATAGCTGTTTTAAAACGACCCAAATGAGTGTCACAAAGATGTGGGGTGGGGAGTTTCGTTAAATTAATTTTGGAAATAAAAAAAGAAATTTTAAAAAAGAACAAAGTGCAAATATACTTACATTAAATCTTGGAATACAGAACATGAAAACAGATGTCAATATTAAAAACTTGACAAATATATGGTAAAACCTCTGACGTATACCAGTCTGTTTACGTCCAATATTTGTACGCCGAGGCGACTGGAGCCTAACTTAATCGCAGTATCATTTCTTACTCACTTCTGGCATTGTTATGTATATTTTGATCAGCATGATGTCATGCTGCGCCTCATTTCTGAACGAAACTTTTAGAGAAAATGGGATCAGAAAGGACACTTACATTTAACATCAGAAAGGGACAGTTGAAATTTCTAGGGTACATAATGAGGAAAGAGGGCCTGGAAATTTTGACACTCACAAGACATTGAGGGCAAGGGGAGACAGAAGAAAATCAGTGCATAACATACCTAAAGAGATGGCAGAACAGAAATGGTTGGCAGAACAGAAAAATTAGAAAATATAGAAGAAAAAAAAACTTTATTAAGAGCTGAAAAGGACAGAAAGTTATATAGTCATAAGCCGGAAACCTGAAACCGGAAGGTGTCCAGAAATTTGGCGGAAGAAGCAGCTGTATACAGACAGCTGAATGGACGTAAAGAAACTAAATAAATAACTACTTAAACTATGTTTCAGCCATGAGGCTGGCCAGATTCCCAAAGTTTCGGAGTCGCATTCAAAATATTAATCTAAAAAAAAAAAAAAAAAAAAGAAAGAAATAAGCGTTATCTTCGAAACGCCTACATCTTCATGACCGAGTTATCTTCCTTGTCTAAATTAACAAAGACGAAAAAGAAATGGAAGCAAATCCATTATAGCAAAACACATTCTCTAACAATTTCTTGTTTTTTGGAAAAAAAAAAAACTTTTCTTAATCTAAGGATTTAATTCCAGACTAGCCATGTTATTTAATTATTTGTTATTACTTAATTACGTCTCACATACGTGGCACCCAAGAAGAACAGAAATCTCCACCCCTTATAATTGTTTTGTTGTCAATGTATCCTTCATGAGAAGCTGGTGAAATTGTATTGTAGGTAATTCCAAAGATTCGCTATAAAATTATGAAACCTTATAAAAGCAACTTTTTATCGTCAAAATCTGTATTTTATTATTAAAAGGAAAGACCAAAGGATTTTTTTTATTATTAAATTATATTTTTTATCCTTTTTAGAACCTTAGAAATTTTGGTTAAAAATCTTTCCTTTTTTTTTTTTGCGTCTGCGGGTTACCATAAATTGGTATGGGGAATTTTAGCGCCTTTTTGCGGCGAAAAACACACTGATATGGAAATTCTTGCAAAAATAAGAGGATTGTTTGATTTTAATGAAACTTTCAGGGCTTATTTACAAATTAAAATATTTTAGAAATGTTTCTTTTTTCTTTTGGCGTTTGCTTGTCTGTTACCTCTTTTTTTTCATATCGATTTATCAACCTTATGCAGGTTATTTAAAGCCATAAAATATTCTAGATTGTAAGGATTTTTTGTTGGGACTGATAATGATTTACTGATACAAGTATTACTAATTAACCCATAGCTGGGTAGATATGAGGTGGATTCATGCCTTTTCCCAAGGGTATTTGCGCATAAGTGAATGTAACGAACTCGACTGGAATTCGAACTCGGCTCGTCGATTTCCAATTCCAAGTTGTTATCAAATTAAATTCTAAACTGTCTAATTCTACACACTCCTCAAATTTTCAAACACCGACTTATAAGATTTTTTTAAAAAAGTTCATTCCATGTCAATCCAAGACCCGAGAAGAAATAAATATTTTTTGCCTGTAACTTTTTTGTAAATACTTAATGATGATCAGAGGGTATTTGGTTGAAACGTTATATCTATAATAACATCAATATCAACCAAGATGAAAACAATAGTTTGAAATAATACAAGAATATTGATAATTATTCATGTCAGAAATAAAATACTAAATTATGAAAAGCGTTATCATAACCAAATATCAAAAACCATTTGATACTGAAAATAAAAGGCTTCCAAAAAACACATCACTAATGTTCTTCAGGACAGTGGCGAAACAGATATAGGATTTATTTATACGTATGTTGCCATCATCTAGTGGTCATGAGTTCAATCTCTGGATCTGGTAGTAATCGACCAATTCAGCAGAAACAAATAATAACTGATATCACAGGGATGGAATATCACAATAATCAACAGATATCCCATATCATCCAATTGATGATGTCCAGAGGGTATTTGGTCGAAACGTTGTATCTATAATAACATCTATATCAACCAAGATGAGAACAATAGTTTGAAATAATACAAGTATATTGACCATTATTCAGGTCAGAAATTATCTGACAAAAAAAAATCATCTGACATTGAATATAAAAGGCTTAGAAAGCATAGCATTTGAGTCGTTCGGGTCGTTGGCGTAGTGGATACAAGAGTCGGTTATACACCTATCATTCTCCTTTAATGGTCAGGAATTCAATCCTTGGATCAAGTAGTAAAGCACCAATTCAATATTGTAGGGAACAAAATGGCACAATGCCAATCGCAGTCAATGGACACCTGAAACCCTATCCTGACTTTGAAATCAACAATGAAAATAATAGTTCGAAATAATACAAAAATATTAACAATTACTTATCTCAGAAATTGAAAGGTATGTTTCTCGGGGTTACTTGCATTTGGTGGTGACGGTTTGCCATAGGGAATTTTCTTTTTTGTTTTTTCTTTTTGTAGTATGTTCATTGGCTGATTGATTTTGCTTAGCGGCATATCAACACCTCTATAGGTTATTAATGCTGAAATCTAAATATTTTTAACACAATTTCATGGCTTCAACTAAATATATATTGAACGCTATTGTATGCCTTCAACTAGAGATAAAATATATTTTTGGCCATTTTGTTATAAAAATCTATTGTTGGTAATTTTCTTATAAATATGCATTGTTGGTAATTTTACTTAAAAATGTATTTTTATACTTTCATAGTTTTTGTTTTTGTTTAGGGGTGTCAATATTTGCCAATAGCGGGGAGCCCTAACAAGTGCTACCACCCCTGGTTAGGGTGGACTTGAGAACAACAGCAATTAAGATGTGGTTCTATGTTCCTCAAAATCTCCAGTCCCCGACCAGAGGCCTCGCTGCCGGATGTAGTCTATCATCACACCCAGGACTATTTTGTAGTATGTAAAACATATCATTAACCCTGAAAGTTATAACTTATGATGATTCCACAATTCAGAAATCCTGATTTGTGAGAGATATTTTTGGCAAAAACTGGACCCCATGAAACAGAGACGAAGAAGACAAAACTTACATGCATATTACAAAGCTCGGCTCTGTATTCATTGCCGTCACAGTAATGATGTTGAATAGGGCTGTGAAAAAAAGAAAAGAAAGTAAAAATGATAATCGCTAAAGACATTATCAAACCTAAGAGCTATATTTAAAAAAAATAAAAATGAACATTTCCCCCGCCCATCTTACGGGTGAGAATCGATATCGAAACTTAAGTGAATTGGAAACTTAAGCATCGATTTCTGTTTATAATTTTGAGATTAGGTATTATGATTACTTACATTATTTACATTATTCGGACTGTTATCATCGTCTTCATTGTCATATTCACAACGTTTCGGCCACTGTACGCTCTGGCCTTCTTCAGGATCTATCTATATTTTTGAAATGAGGTATTGTAATTATTTACATCATTAGAACTGTTATCCTCATCTTCATTACCATATTCACAATGTTTCGATCATTGTACGCTCTGGTCTTCTTCAGGATCTGTCTATATTTCTGAGATGAGGTATTGTAATTATTTACATTATTCAGACTGTTATCATCGTCTTCATTGCCATATTCACAACGTTTCGGCTATTGTACGCTCTGGCCTTCTTCAGGATCTGTCTATATTTCTGAGATGAGGTATTGCAATTATTTACATTATTCGGACTGTTATCCACGTCTTCATTGACATATTCACAACGTTTCGGCCGTTGAACGCTCCGGCCTTCTTCAGGATCTGTCTATATTACTGAGATGTGGTATTTAATTATTTACATTATTCGGACTATTATCCTCATCTTCATTGCCATATTCACAACGTTTCGGTCGTTTGTACGTTCGGAGCCAAAATACACTGCCACTAAAAATAATAGTCTGAAACTATTATTTAAAATCCTTTACCTAACCATAAAAATCTATATGGATTTTATTTCAACAATATTATATTTAACACTATAAGCGTAAGCATCTGCCTTACAAATGAGGAAATTATGTTTTTATTAACACGCACCGTTGCGTATGGTTTGTTTTTAGTTTCTTCATCTGAAAACACACACACACACAAAGAATTTTTAAAAGAAAATTATATTTCTTCTGCAGAGGAAAAATCTTTTGAACGTTTCTTGCTTCTAAAGCAAAACATATTTACACGTCTGATCTTCCTTAGTGAAAATTGCCAATGGTTTAAAATGCAGAAAATGTTACCTTCAACAAAAGGTTACGAAATTCAATAAGCATTATACTTACACATTATTTATGTATAAGTCTGAACGAAACGAAACGATATTAATAAACATTATTTTTCTTATGAATTTAGGCGGGCCATTCAGGAAGGCAAAAGGGTTGAAGGCAGCCAGCGTCCTGCATTTTGTCTTCGATTGATTTCGACATTCCTCAGGCCAAGGCATTTGTCAGAATCGAAATATATTGATCTTTATCGATTTAGAAGAGGAGTTGTTTATATTATCGATATAGTATCAGATCGATCCTTGGCTTTACAAATGTCGCGCCTTGAAAATGTGCTTACGTCATTAATATATGCATATTTGCTTTATACTTTTATTAATTTATGTTCATTTTTGTTTTTAATTAGAAATGTGACATTTCTTTAAAAATGTATATAAGTGTTTGTTCTTTAAAGACAAAAAATATTGGCAAACATAGACAAACATGTACGCAATGAGATGTAGTGTCAAAAGGGACGGTTTTTCCCATAACACCGCTTTTATAAATACCTTCACTCTTCGGCAATGTTTATTGTTTTAAAAAGCAGTGATTAGAATTAGAATAAAAACTTAAACATATGATGAAAGTGAATTTATACCTTTGTTTTTATTCTTAAGAATTTACAACAGAAATATGGATCTACAGAAGGATGCTGAGGATACCATGGACTGAATATGTGAGCAAGGATGAAGTTTTAGAGAAAATCGGAAGAAAAAGGAAACTTAACATACTTAACATCAGGAAGAGACAGTTGAAATTTCTAGGGCACATAATGAGGAAAGAGGGCTTGGAAAATCTGATACACACAGGACAGATTGAAGGCAAGAGGGACAGTGGAAAACAATGCGTAACCTATTTAGTGAGTTTGAGTAAATGGATGATGGAAAAGGTTTAGGAGAGATAACAAAAGGATAAAATTTATTAAGAGCTACGAAGGATAGGAAGTTGTGGCGAGCCATGATCTTGAAAGGACACGGCACACAGAAAAAAAAAGAGTTTGTGTAAATGGATGGAGGAACAAAATTTAGGAGAGATATCAAAAAGACAAAATTTATTAAGAGCCACAAATGACAAGAAATTGTGGAGAGCCATGATCGCCAACGTCCTGAAGAGACACAATACATATAAGAGGAAGAACCGAATCGCTACTCGGATCGCACTATCCTAAAGTGTGTATGTATGCGACTGGGGGCCGCTAACTTAAACTCCGGCCATGAATGTGCATTCAGGATGCGGCAGATTCGTTTGACGGAGCCGGCTCAACCCCTGCCGGATGAATGCCGCAGCAAGTACAAATAAGTAACTGTCAAGTGTTGTGCCTTAAAGAGGATCTAAAAACTGCTAGTCTACAGAAATTATAACCAGAAGGTTTCCCCTAAATCTTACGAGTGGTCATTATGGTGTTTTTCCTTAGCTTAGATTTGGCACAAGGCCTAAAATATGGGACATCCAGCGAGTGGTCATTATGAACGTGACATTCATACAGTTCACGAGCACATTCACTGGTATCTCAATGTAGATACATTAACCCCACGAGATAGTGTCTGTTTGCGCATGCGAACTAAAACCTTTTACTGATTGTTTTTTAATTTGTATCAAAGCCGCGCAAGCGTTTATTAACATGTTCAAAATGGCTTGATTCGTCAGGACAGACTTCGTATTTACATAATTATGTATCAGTGTGCTTAGTTTTTATGCGTGTTTCGTTGCTAAATATATGCACCAAGATTTGAGCACATGTAACTCGAAAAGAAAATAATGACATAATGAAGATGTTGCGGTTCCACACCATTACAAACAAAAGAGTAGGAAGGAAACCCGCAACAATAGTAGAAAGAGCGATATCAGTTACTGGATTTGAGAAACCTATTTTCCCGAAGAAATGTTTTAATAGAAGGATTTTATAAATTTCAACCGACAGTAAGCCTGACTTTTCGGTCAGTGATTGTTGAATATTTCCTTTTAAGGAAGCCACTGATATTACAATTACTATTACCATGTGTTAAAAAGAGAAAGAGTGAGTGAGAAGGGGAAAAAACTGTGTGCGTGATGGTAGGTTTATGTATACTTACGTAGGGTTATTACATTCTCTGTGGCTATATTTAACGCCCGTCCCACAAGAACGAGAACAAGATGTCCATTCAGACCAGTCGCCCCATCCTCCAGCACGCTCCTTCCATTCTGTGTGTAACTCCATCAGTTTGTAAGTCAGACATTGTTTCTTCAAACAAACCTGAAATTTAAGGAGATAAAAAAGAAAATTATCAAAATTTAGTGAAGAATTTAAAAACTAAATAGAATAGTGATTTTCCAAGCGTAGCTTAGATGTGGTACAAGGCCGAAAGTATGGTACACCCAGTGAGGATCGAACTCACTATTCAGTGGTAATTGTTCTAGCAAGACAAGCTTGCTAACATTACACCGCCTCTAGGCGCCCCAAAACTAAATAGAATATAACGGTTAGAGACCCGTAACCATTTATGGTCGTAGGGTCAACACATATATTGCTGCTGCAGAAGCAGTGGCAGACGAGCGTGGCAAAATCCATCTCTCTTTAGGCTGGTTTTGAATTCATAGTCATCTTTATAGACTTTGCCCTACCAATGCTAAAGAGTCTAGTTTTCCCTATTATTTACGAGGTTTAAATTCAAAATTTACGTTCTCTGAAAGTGAGTCTATCCTGCCATTTAACGCTTAACTGGAGGGAGTGGATAGATGCTCTTTTATTTAGACTCACAGTTCAAATCACATGCACTGTAAATCTCTCCTGTGACCCGTTGGCTCTCCAACTCACGACTTATTTATCAGAACCCCACAGTCTAAATCACCAAAATACGTGAATAAAATTAAATGCCAGATAATATGTATACTAGCACATCCATGAGCGTTACTGGGCCTCCATCTCCACCAAAAAATCTTTCAAGAAAATCCTAGGAAATCATTCATTATCTGAGACTCAAATGATTGCCTTACCAATGCTAAAGGGTCCAGTTTACCCTATTATTTCCGGGGTATCAATTAAGAGTTTACATTCTCCGAGAGTGAGATTGTCTTGCCTTTTAATGCATAACTTTAGGAAGTGGATTAATACACTTTTTGCAAAAACTAAAGTTCACCCAATATAAGGCACAAGAGCCAGTCATGGTAGAGAGTTACAATGGTGTATGTGATATGAACCTAAAAGGAGGTAGAAGCTCACATAATCAGGAAAAACCCAAGTATTACCTACCTACCTACCTACCTACCTACCTACTTACCGAGACGAGCAGGCGAAGACCTGAATAAATCACCTACATATGATATGGGGGGGGGACATAGAATACGAAGCAAACCAAAAAAGAAGACAACCTTTGTTTGCTTGGCCTCAATCTATGACAATGCTCAGTTGTCCTGTTTGTTGAAATTCTAGTTCTTCTTGTTCTCCATGTGCCGTGTCCCTCCAGGGCGTTGGCGATCATTGTTCTCCCAAATTTCAAATAAATTTTGTCTTTTTGTTACCTCCCCTAACCCTTGCTCTCGCATCCATTTACTCAAGCTTGCCAGGCTGCTTTCCTCTGTCCCTCTTGCCTTCAATCTGTCCAGTGAGTATCAAATTTTCCAAGCCCTCTTTCCTCTTTATGCACCTTAGAAATTTCAATTGTCTCTTTCTGACGTTAAATATGTGTCCTTTTTTCCCCCCATTTTCTGTAGAAATTCGTTGTTGCTCACATATTCGGTCCATGGAATTTTTAGTAGCCTTCTATAGAACCACATTTCTGTGGCTTTAATTCTCTTCTTCCTCTGTGATGAGATTGCCCGGCATCCACTGCCATATAGGAGGTCTGATATCACGTAACATTTCTTTGTTTCTAAAGATTCGCTTCTTTAGAAATTCTGATCCAGATATCGGAACATTCATTGTGGAAAACTATAAAAGCAAATAAATAAGCTTCAAGAAAACACGTTAATCTGCTACCGCTGAGACTGTGTCAGTTCAGGACGTAGGCGATCATGGCTCTCCACACCTTTCAAATCGAGAGTTTATTACGGATGCTGCATGGCGCCAACCCCGTCCAGAAATATTGAAACAGTCAGCTGTATACAACCACTTCCTAAGATCAATAGCAAAAAGGCTTTGAGGAAGTGATGCCTGGATGTTTTGAAAAGATCATCCTTTGAACATGGGGAACTGACGATACACAAACTAAGGAATGTACCAAATAGCAAAACTAAAGAATGTACCAAATAGCAAAACTAAGGAATGTACCAAATAGCAAAACTAAGGAATGTACCAAATAGCAAAACTAAAGAATGTACCAAATAGCAAAACTAAAGAATGTACCAAATAGCAAAACTAAAGAATGTACCAAATAGCAAAAATCACATCACTTGAAGACTACCAACTGCAGTAACAAGTAAAATGGATAGCAAATCTGAATAATGACATAATCAACATTTGTCTATATTTCTGAGATGAGGTATTGCAACTATTTACACTAATTACATTATTTGGAATATTGTCCTCATCTTTATTGTCATATCCACGACGTTTCGGCCGTTGTATGCTCCGTTCTTCTTCTTTATTTAATCCACGGGAAACACCCGGAAAAGTCATGGCACGTGAAACTAGAACACTCTACACCCGGTTCGAAATTCCAACGTATATCACCTGAAGAAGGCAGGAGTGCACAATGGCCGAAACATCATGGATATGACAATAAAGATGAGCTCAGCAGCCCAAAGAATATAAATAGTGATGCTGATATTCCACACTACTTCAAACAAAAGGTTCGGAAGGAAACTCCCATCAATACTGGAAAGAACGATAACAGATATTGGACTTGAAAAATTGTTTTAAGAGAAAGTTTTTATAAATTTCAAACGAAATCATTACTGGCTGCTTGGTCAATTGAATGCCAAATGTTTCCTTATAGGGAACCGGCTAATGTGGCCATTTTTATAATCTATGAAACATAGTTACACATCCTTTTGCACCTATATTGCCCCTTTTGATATCATTCGGAGTATGAATTTACTGCTATTAATTAAAAAAAATCATCTTAATTACTTTTTTTCACCGAAACACTAGCTTCTAAAATTTAAACTGGTGTCGTTTGAAAATAATTTATTAGCGATACCTGCGGAAATTCAGCGGTTTTACTGTTTTTCATTGAAATTAATAGTTTTCAGACCTCCTAATTCTATGGAATGTACAAATTTTAAATGAGCACTTTATAGGATAATTACAATTCTATTCTTTCGTAGTTATATATCCTTGTTTTTTTAACAGCAAGACCAACAATACAATAGTAATGGCAAGACGTAATGGTCGTGCGAACTAATTGCGGATCTGACAAAGAAAAGGAGGGCACGATTTTCCTATTTGAAATTTTTGATGAATCTTAATTCTTAGGTTAATTTTTGAACCGGCTTATAGTGTGTTCTACGACAATAAAATATCTGTAGAAATTTCTCTATCGCACCGTTAAGTAGCTTAACTGTTTTAACAAAATATGGCAATAACAATCATGAAAAAAATTGAAATTAACAACTTTTTCCATTTCACTGAAGCAGATTTTAAGCACTTCTTTCTTTCTTTCTTTCTTTCTTTCTTCCTTTCTTTCTTTTTTTCTTTCGGTCTGTCTTTTTTTCTTTCTTCCATTCATTTTTTCACTGAAACCAGTTAGTGTCTTTTACCATCTTTCCACACGATACAAACGATATAGTCCATTATTTATGGGATATTAGCAGGAGACGTTAAACACTTCTAAATTCCATTCTTTTTTTTTCTTTCTTTCTTTTTCTCATTAAAACCTAGTAGTGACTTTTCCACTATTACCAAGAGATCAAAACAGAATACTCCATTATTTATGAGGTGAAGCAAGATACAAGCACAATTATAATAGGTTAATTCACTTATAATTCACGCAAATAATAATTCACTTACGCTATATATTTCGAGATTTTCGACAAAATCCAAAGAAGTGTCTGTAATGTTATCGGTCCTGATCTGGCATCTCGACTTAGCTATTTATTTATTTATTTATTTCTAACTGAAACGAAATAGAGTCTTTGAGGAGTCTTTCCACGCAATCAAAATGGAATAGACTATTATTTATTAGGTATTGGCTGGTGACGTTAAATATTTCTTTCTTTCTTTCTTTCTTTCTTTCTTTCTTTCTTTCTTTCTTGCTTGCTTGCTTGCTTGCTTTATGTTTTAAGCGAACAGAGCAGAATTTTTCGATGTCATCATCATGATGCGTATTTTATTCAATTATTAACTTGTATCAATATGTTATTCAGTCTGTGTTGGTGCGTTGTTAAAAGGCATATTCAATTTTTTTGACTTCCATTAAAAATTTTATTTTCTAAAATATTTAACTTCTGTTAAATATGTCTTTTCCCATTTTTTTTTGTTAATAGTTCTTTTCCTATATACTGTTATATTTTGAAATATAAAAAATGTAAAAATGAAAATATGAAAGTGTAAAAATAGGCTTTAATACCAGAAATACTTTGTAAAAATTATTACCAGCAATAAGTTTTTGAAGAAAAATTATTACCACCAATACATTATTACCAGCAATACATTTTTCAAAATACGCCATATAGGTGGCCTTAAATGATGGAGGAGATTTATTAGTTTTTTTTATTACACATTTTTCCGCAGCCATTTTTAACACAGGGATGATAGTAAGATAAATGAAAAAATTCCTTACCTTTCCTGGGGCGCAGTACATGCCAACGATACCCTGAGCGCTTTCTCGATAGATCAAACCAAAATCGGGCCCTTCCTTCAGCTGAACGCAGTAATAGCCTCTATCGCAGGAATACTGCCGAGAAAAAAATATGGATATTAAATAATACTTCTTAAATGGATTAATTTGATTTAGTTTATTAACAAAAATCAACGAATACCTAAAGTAAACATCTACAATGTCTCAGAAAAGTCCCATTATTTTATTCTATAAAAATATTTTTAAGTCTGCAATTTTTCAAACTAATCATTAACATAGTTCAAACAGAACTCCCCAAATACCTTGGGAGCCTTGCCTCCCCACAAGAACTAGACTGTGACCCTTCTTTTTCTTTCTATGTGCTGCGTCCTTTGAGGTCGTAGGTGAACATGGCTATCCACTTCCCTCTATCCATTGTAGCTCTTGTCCCTCTGCTTCTCCCCCCAGACTACGTTCTGTCATCCACTTGCTTAAGTCCGCTACGTATATCATGCATTAATCTTCCTTGTCTCTCTTTCCCTCTATACGACCTCTGAGTATCAGAATCTCCAAGCCCTCCTTTCTCATTACGTGTCCTAGAAACTTCAGCTGCCTCTTCCTGTTGTTAAGTATAAGTCTCTTCCTTGTTTGCATCTTCTCCAAGACCTCATCGTTGCTCACACGCTCGGTCCATGATATCCTCATCATCCTTCTGTAGAACCACATAACCCTTATTAAACCCATTAGTGTGGTATACGGGTGTGGAAGTACAGAGAGTCGGTAAAGGAGAATTGGGTAGATGTGCGATGGAAATATTCCTCCGAGTCCACAGACGAACTGAGAACTCAGCCTTCTCTCGCACCTCCGACCAATTCATTTCCGTCCTGGGTAAGACGATAAACTACATCGGCGTCTTGGGTAAGACGTTAAACTACGTCCAACAGCAAGGACTCTGATCAGGAGGTTTTGAGGAACGTGGAACCACCTCTTAATTTCATGCCTTTTTTTCAAAGTAATTTGCATTATAAGTGAATATAACGAACCCGACTGGAATTCGAACTCAGATCTCCGATTTCACATTCCGAACATTTATCCATTACACCACCCGCACATCCAAGCTCACTGCACCTGGTATTTCCGACCTGTCACCCATCTAAGTACTGTCTAGGTTCAAAGTTGCTTAACTTCGATGATCGGACGGGGACTGGTGATTCACCGTGGTATAACCGTAAGCCTAGGTACCAGTAGAAGCAGAAGAAGTTACTTACCTTCATCCCTTCTTTTTCTCGGTAGCGATAACCAGGACCCATGAGATTTTCGCAATATTGGTGATGAGTGACATTCCAAACTGAAAGATCAAATAAAAAAAGTCTTTAACGTCGAATCGGAGTCAATGCCAACTTCAAGTGTGGTACATCGCAATATATATATATATATATATATATATATATATATATATATATATATAAAATCGTTGGCGATCATGGCTCTCCACAATTTCCTGTTTTTGTAGCTTTTAATAATTTTGTCTTTTTGTTACCTTTCCTAAACCCTGTTCCACCAACCATTTACAAAAGTTTGTTTTTTTTCTTCTAGGTACCGCGCCTCTTCAGGGCGTTGGCGATCATGGCTCTCCACAATTTTCTGTCTTTCGTAGATCTTAACAAATTTTGTATTCTTGTTATCTGTTATTTGATTGGTTGTCACGTGACAGACTGACCGCCGCCCAATCATTTGGTAACGAGCCTTTCTCCCCCCCACCACCATCCATTTATTCGATAAATAGGTTATGCGTCATCTAATTCAGCTGTCACTTTCCGATGTAAAATATAAGTGTACTTTTTTCATAATTTTCTCTAAAACTTCATTGTTGCTCACAAGTTCAATTCATGATATTCTCAACATCCTTCTGTAGAACCACATTTTATAATATATTGCTGCTGGGATTAAATAAGGCAACGGAGACTTATATATAAACATATATAATTATTTTTATTGTGTGGGTTGCGACGACAGGGTAGGGTGAGAAAGAATCTCAGAGGCTAGGATTGTGCAGACAGGAATTGACGGAGACAAATCTTTAGTGGACCTCTAGCCAACCACTCTGTCCAGATCAAGGTCTATGGGATGCGCACCCGAGAATATTAATAGAGAAAATGCGCTCTCGGACAGAGTCCGAGTTTCCGTCATACTTTGTAATAGAAAAAGCCATTTGATTCGGCTTTCTATAGACTGCTCAGTCACTGACTATCCACAAAAAATAACATTTGAAGAAATAAAAATCTTGGGTTCAAAATAAATCAATTAATTCTATAGAAATGATTTTATTTGTATGTATGTACATTACTTAGATATTTGTAAAGTTTGTATACACCGATTTTTATTCAGGCTTTCGGAACGTATATTAATAGCAAAAATTACAGACGAAGTCACGATAAAAACCAAAATATAAAAACGTGAAGAAAATGGAAACCTAAAAAAAATATAAAGACGAGGACACAATGGAAACATAAATGAATATAAAGACGCGGAATCGATGGAAACCTAAATAAACATAAAGCCGAAGACGCAATGGAAACCTAAATAAATATGAGAACGAGGACACAATGGAAAACTAAGCATATATAAGGAAGAGGACACAATGAAAACCTAAATGAATAAAAATGACGAGGTCACAATGGAAACCAGAATGAATAAAAATGACGAGGACACAATGGAAACCAGAATGAATAAAAATGACGAGGACACAATGGAAACCAAAATGAATAAAAATGACGTGGACACAATGGAAACAAAAATGAATAAAAATGACGAGGACACAATGGAAACCTAAGTAAATATAAGAACGAGGACACAATGGAAACCAAAATGAATAAAAATGTCGAGGACACAATGGAAAGCTAAATAAATATAAGAACGAGGACACAATGGAAACCAAAATGAATAAAAATGACGAGGACACAATGGAAACCTAAATAAATATAAGAACAAGGACACAATGGAAACCAAAATGAATAAAAATGACGTGGACACAATGGAAACTAAAATGAATAAAAATGACGAGGACACAAGGGAAACCAAAATGAATAAAACTGTCGAGGACATAATGGAAACCTAAATAAATATAAGTACGAGGACACAATGGAAACCAAAATGAATAAAAATGACGGGGACATAATGGAAACCTAAATAAATATAAGTACGAGGACACAATGGAAACCAAAATGAATAAAAATGACGGGGACATAATGGAAACCTAAATAAATATAAGTACGAGGACACAATGGAAACAAAATGAATAAAATGACGGGGACATAATGGAAACCTAAATAAATATAAGTACGAGGACACAATGGAAACCAAAATGAATAAAAATGACGGGGACATAATGGAAACCTAAATAAATATAAGAACGAGGACACAATGGAAACCAAAATGAATATAAATGTCGAGGACACAATGGAAACCTAAATAAATATAAGTACGAGGACACAATGGAAACCAAAATGAATAAAAATGACGGGGACATAATGGAAACCTAAATAAATATAATAACGAGGACACAATGGAAACCAAAATGAATAAAAATGTCGAGGACACAATGGAAACCAAAATGAATAAAAATGACGAGAACACAAGGGAAAACAAAATGAATAAAAATGACGTGGACACAATGAAAACCAAAATGAATAAAAATGACGAGGACACAATGAAAACCAAAATGAATAAAAATGATGAGGACAATGGAAACATAAATTAATATAAAGACGATGACACTTTGGAATCGTACATAAAAAGTTATTCACACACAAATGAAATCTGAATATACATAAAGCCAAGAGCACGAAAGAAATCCAAATAAACACTAGAAATCTAAATATAAAGTTGACAGAAAAAAGCAAACGTAAATTAATATAATATCTTTGATTCTCTTGGAAACGTACATAGTGAAAATGACACAATGAAAGTCTACATATGAATTGACGCATAAACCAGGGAAATCTGAATAAATATAAACTCATATCCCCAATAGATATCTAAGTAAAGACAAGCACACAATGGAAATCTTAATATAAACTAACGCAGACAACACTGGAAATCTGAATAAATATTAAAACGAGGACATCTACCTTGATTTTCTTCTTGTCACTTTGCAGAATCGAACCAATGACAATATTTGTAATTCATGTTTATAGCTTATACTCTAATTCCCGAAAAATATATTCCTACTTTACTAAGTTGCAAATTAATTTCAAATCGTGAGTGACAAACGTGAAGTTCTCAAAACAAGAAACATTTTTTTCATATGATTTTCGAATGCCTATCCATCTGAACAATGCAATGATTCGTTAATATCTGTGTCGTCTGCTGCTAATCGATGTGTATGGGGCGCAATACGCGTGCTTCTATCGAAGGAAATAAGCGAACCATTTGACTTCACTCTATCGACCACAGACAGCTAGATAACCGACTATAAAAATAAATAAAACAGAAAGGAAAAAAATCATAATGACATTTCCCGAAATTTCAATATAATAGAAAGAAAACAAAAGGAAGCTTTGATTTCGTTCAATAACATTTCGGGACATTAATTGCAAGCAATTATTTTTATGGTCATGACACGCGGTGTTTATCATTGTAATGAAAGAAATGCCGACCATCAATTTTCTTACTTTTTTTTATTATTATTAAAAATATGTTATTGGGCTTTCTTTTTACATGCAGGAAAGTACAAGGGGAAAGTTTTGTCGAAGTCTGAGTTATTGAAAAAAAAAGATTTTCATTTGAAACATTTATTCATCTTTGTGTGAATTTTAAGTGTTGGTGACGTTGGAGAATTTTTATGGCGACTGTAATAAACATTGAGATAAAACGATATTGTTGATCAAAAAACGTCAAGAAAAATAATTACTATAAAGTTGAGATTAATGCAAAATTACCAAACATTACTTACCTGATGGTATATTTTCAAGATGTACGCCTTTCAATTCTTCCATGACATCATTATCAGGAATGTTTTGTGTGAAAAGACATTTTCCGTTTGATTTCCTGGTGATATTAAAAAAAAAGAAAGAAAGAAAGAAAATATATTATTATAATTGTGCTTGTCCATGCCTTCGTTCGCACGACCGTTACGTCCTGCCAATGCCTTAAATGTAAATAAATTAAATTAAGTGTAATTAATTATAACTCCTCATCCCAGAAATACAGGCAGAATTACAAATTTTGATACAAACAATTCACCCAAGGTTCAAGAGTAACTCAAGGTAGAGTGTCACAATAAAAATAGTAATAGGGAATAAGGTGTGTGATATGTACAGAAGAGAAGGTCATAGGAATATTTATTCATCCATTCATTTGTTTTTTACGGCTTAATTTTTTTCCTTTATCTATATATATATATATATATATATATATAACAATTAAGTAATTCAACGAGTCTAGAAGAAACCTCAATAGAATGCAGAAAGCACTGAACGGCCGTTTCGTCCTATATTTGGAACACATCGGCAGTGCGCATCCACTACCGAGAATTGACAGTTACATTATCAGGCAAACGTCATTACTAACTGTTCCAACAGGCCTCGGTGACGAAGAGGTCGCTAATCAGACTCGATACAGCGCTGCTCGATCATATATTCGGTGGTGGAATTCATCCGAGTTTTTCTTTTAGCCATAGAACTGTGCCCCCACGAGCCACGACTACTATCCCCAAGTCGCTCCATCCAGATCATTAGAAGCCGGTCCAAGCAAGGAAAGCAAGTGATAGAAATTATTAGGAGGATTTGAGATAGTTATAATTAAGTAATTCATCGAGTCTAGAAGAAACCTCAACTGAATGTAGAAAGCACAGGACGGCCGTTTCGTCCTATTTACTTAATTATAATTATCTCAAATCCTCCTAATTTCTATCACTTGTATATATATATATATATATATATATATATATATATATATATATATATATATATGTGTGGTGATTGAAAAGTAACTCCCTATTTTATGTATGATGGACTCTCCGGTCTAATTATAATTTTTACAAGACGGGAGAGGCTATTATAAAATAGGGAGTTACTTTTCAATCATTCGACTTTTTAACTCATAGATGGTGGGGGAAGAGATGGATTCACACATTTCCCAAGGGTTTCTGTCCGTAAGTAAATGTAACGAACTCGACTGGAATTCGAACTCAGCTCTTTGATTTCTTATTCCGAGCCGTATTCCATCACACCATCTGCACATCAGGGAAGTGAAGATTTTGAGGATAACGATTGACTTGAAGAGGCTAAGGTTGTAGTGATCGGAGAAGCAACTCTGTGGGGGAGCTTTTCCGCTAAGTGGCTCTTCTTGGGGAAAAAGCCATCTGGATGGAACTTTCTTTATTCATTTGAAATACGGCGGACATGTGTGTGGAATTTGATCCTCGCTGTAAAGTCCTGTACTCGTGGAACTAAATAATGCGGCTCGTCTGATCATTTTCGACGGAAATAGCGATAGAGTAGCATCAGCCTTTGCACCGTTTCGTTTGTGAGAAAGAGGTTGCAGAGTGGAAGATCGTACATTTCCTTCCACAATGTACAAAAGGATTTTGGAAACTATCTAGGCTGAGAAGCAAGGATGGAACCAGTCCCAGCCCCCATATGGCAGCAATTCTCCATTTCTGGTCTAAAATTATATTCAGAGAAATCTCTCATCTACGCCCCCCTCCCAATCAACGGACTTCGGATGCAACGGAGAAAATCAGGAAAAATTTTTAAAAATCTCCAGGAAAAAATTCCAAATCGTCAGCGATGTAATTCAAAATTTGCTTAGCGGAACGAGTCGTATTAGTTCTCAAAGTGACCGCTTGGCGGCCGTGGCGAGCCTTTCAGTTGTAAACAAAGACGTAAAGTACGATACATTAGCGCGTGCGTGAGAAAGTGGCTGTGAGAAATTTATTATTTTTGTTATTTTGATTAATATATCTATATTAAGTATATATTTGTTTATACCATATATACTTGTTTATAGTATTAACATTATGATCACAACTACTGATAGTTACTATAGTGCTTTTATAACTCAAAAATAACCCCTTCACATCTACGGACAATCGGCTTTAACGGACCCCTATAATCCATTCATAAGAGATTTATCTGTATTTAGATTTTTGTAATGTCATCGTCTTTATTTCAGTTTCCATTGTGTCTTAGTCTTTATATTTATTTAGATTTCTGTCGTCTTCTTGACTTTACATTTATTAACATTTCCTTTCTGGCATCGTCTCTATATTTATTTATATTAACATTGTTTTCCTCATCTTTATTTATAATTCTATTGTGTCCTCACATTTACTTATAATTGTATTGTGTCCGCACCTTTATTTATAATTCTATTGTGTCCTCACCTTTATTTATAATTCTATTGTGTCCTCGTCTTTATTTAGATCTCCATAGTGTCCTAGACTTTTACATTTCTTTGTGTCCATGCCTTTATATCTAAACTAATTCTTATAAAAGAAATACATGGCAGAAGGAGTTAAATATTTCTTGAATAATTAACAGACCATTTTCTAGCAGTAGAACCTCATTGGGTATTGAATAATTCCTAGTAACTAGAGAACACTTATTGTCGGATTCCCCTATTTTTCTAGTGTCAAATCCTATTTTATGGTTATTGAAGATAAGCAGTTAAACCGACCATGACAATTTTTAGAATGGTTCATATCGCCTGCATCTGATAAATTGTCTTTTATTGTTATTTCCTAAGCGTGGCTTCAACTTAACATAAGGCCACAAGTATGGGGCACCTAGTGAGGACTGAACTCATTACTCATAATCTACAGTTCAGCTTGCAGATCATAACGTTACGAAGAATTGCCCTTTGTTTTATTTTGAATAGCTAAGCTTGGAATTTTTTTCTAGTCAGTCTGTGTGAGTAGGAGAGTATGAGCGAGGTAATGCATATGGTGCATATACAATATGCATACATAAAAATAATTATTTATAATATTCGGACTATTGTCCTCATCTTTATTGCCATGTTCACGACGTTTCGACCGTTGTACACGCCGGCCTTCTTTAGGTGTCTGGAATTTCGAAGTGACCCCTTTATTTCGTCTAACGGGGTAGATTGTTCTAGATCCACGTGCCATGTCTCTTCCGTATGTCTCAGTTATCTCCCTTTAACTCAACTCAAGTAGCCAGGTATTGAACTCACAATTCTTTGAGTCAAGTTACTGGATGCACCAAAGCTTTTATCCATATATATATATATTAGTAATACGATATTTTTATAACTATTATAAAATTAAATCATAATACTATTGCATATATGGAGTCTCGAGTTCTTAAGGAAAGTTAATGGCGCCACGTAAATAGGAGCTCAGATTTTGAATAAGAAGAGTTATATGTCATGTTGGGGGTGATATCATGAATTTAGAGAAGCATAACGGGTCATGGCCCCAAAAAGGTTGGATACTACTGCGTTAGACATAATGCTTCCGAAAGTTTTTTTAATTATTTCACCCCCAAACAATATCACTATATATATATATATATATATATATATATATATATATATATATATTCAACACCACCACTTTATAAGACACCAGAAGTGTTGAAACAAAATGATTATTTTTACAGTGATTTTATAACATGTTTATGTTATAATTTTCGAATAAAATAAATATATATATATATATATATATATATATATAATTTTTTTTTTAAATATGATTCCATCGCGACACCGAAATTACTATGTTTCGAAACTTGATTCATGTCCTAAAGTTTAATTTCAATATTAAACTTAAAATTTAGAGTACAGTTTCATTCTCAGGCGATGTTTAGAATAACTAACTGAAATGTGTTACTCATGTATAGGTTGGAAATGGAGATGTTAATCTGTTTTTGTTTTTTTTGTTTTTTTTTTTGTTTTTATTAGTTATCAATGTGTCCCTACTGTGATGAAAGTATGAATGTTTGTTATATGCCACATTTTTTGGAGTCGTGTAAGTTTCGGTTGGTGGATTTTTGTCTGGCTTCAATGGCCTTTTTTTTTCGAGGCTCTGTTCTTCTTATTACTATTTGTTCAAACTTACAGACTGATGTTATAGTTACAGTCTTTTTTATGTTAATTTATTTGTTGTTTTTTTGTTGTTGTTGATGGTTTCTTACAGGGTGTTTAGATAGGATAGGGTTGTATTTTTAATTCTATAGTTTTATACGTGTCTAAAATTAATTTAATTTGCTAATAGATTTTATATGGTATTGTGTAATTACATATATATCGTATTATGGAATTTTTTTCTTCTATCCATTTATAAATTACTAATTTTTTAAGGCGTATATTTGGTGACGTCTGCAAAAAGCCGTTATTTCATTTCTTTGATTTAATAATTTTTTGTTTTTTAGAAACTTGATAATGTGTAGTTTTTCATGTAGTCATAAAGGGCATAGGTCATCTCAGGTTCTACAAGTTCTTGTTCTATTTATTATTTTCCATTTTACTCTTAATAATTTATTTGTTTCTTTTAAATGTCAAAAATATTTAGATAGGGATGTTTGGTTTCGGTTTCTAATTTAAAACGGCTTAAATATCAATTTTGGGAAAATATCAGTTTTGTCATAGTGAAAAATAGCGTTAAAATCTATATAAATTACGATTCAATAAAAATGATTCAAATTATAGCGAGCATCTGTTAACTAATCCGTTTCAGACAAAATAAATTTTTTTATTGAAAATTATTAAGACGAGAAAGGCCCGGGAAATTTTCACAGCTTTCCTCTTCAGATTTTCTGATCAATCTTAATTCTTATGTTGAATAATGATTAAACAATCTCACGACGAGTTCTATGGAAATAAAATATAAATTCCCCTACAACATCGTCAAATAGAGGATGTCCATAAAGTTCGTGTGCACTTTAAAAAATTTATAACTTTATTTGTATTTGCGATAGAAATAATCTGTAACAAATGTTATAAAGTTTAATGCATCTAGTTTTAGGTATAGTTATTGAATAATTCTTTACCACAAATTTTGCAACAATTTTTAGATAAGTAAAAAATATTTTCTTTTTTCCAGAATCAATTTGATCCATGGCTTCAACTGAGGAAAAAGTAAACTGTGTCCTTTGGTTGGCTGAACTGATATCTATTATTGCTGTACAAAGAAAGTTTAGAATTGAATACAATAAAGAACCACCTCATAGGAACATTATTGCTAAATGGATAAAAAAATTTAAAGAGACGGACTCTGTGGAGAACATTGGAAACTTAAATAAAATTTCAATAAAACCTTAAAAAATATAGATTTACTTCTTTCTAATCCTTTTTACAAATTATTTCTATCGCAAATTCAAATAAAGTTATAAATGTTTTAAAGTGCACACGAACATTATGGAAACCCTGTATTTAACCTTAAAAAACAAAATATTGCAATAACAATCATAGATATGAACGCTGGTCGTTATTTTAAGAAGTGGGTACAAATGAAAATATTTTAAATTGACAACTTTTTGCATTTTCTTGAAACAGCCGTTAAACACTTCTATATTATCTTTTTTTCTTTCTTTTTCTCACTGAAACCAAGTAATGTCTTTTGTTTTTCGATGCAAGCAAAATGGAATAGTCTATTGTTTATGAGGTATTGACAAGAAACGTTAGGCATGTCTATCTTCGCCTTTTTCTTTCTTTCTTTCTTTCTTTCTTTCTTTCTTTCTTTCTTTCTAATCCCCGTCTTACGAACATCTCTCTTAATAATAATTTTAAAATAATTCAATAGACGAGGTTATTTTATTTATGGTAACTGGATTTTGGCGATTGTCTTACTCGGTTTCCATCTTTTGGTACACTGCCTCCGAAAAATGACAGTCGCCAATACTTCTCGGCCTTTTGGTTAGGATCAAAGTGTAGTATGCCTTCTGATCAGCTTAAGCTGATTCTTTCCACTTTTATTTTTTCCTTCTTTCTTTCATTTTCTTACTGAAACCAAGTAGTGTCTTTTCCCATCTATCCACGCGATAAAAACGGAATAGTTCATTATTTATGAGGTATTGGCAGGGCGTAGTGGTCGTGCAAACTAACGATGCGAGGGACAAGCACGATTAGAATAGGATGATATAAATGTCAAATTTATTTCAGAAAAGTTATAACAGGATATGGTATACTTTAAATAAAAATTAATCTATATAAAGATCAAGATTCCACAGTATTTAAAACATACCAAATTATTAATCTGCAGGGTTTCATTTGTAGTTATTCGAAATTTTTATGCTCTTCAAGTAACACACTTTCAAATTTTCAAATCAGATTTTCAAATTGATTCAAGCCTTTTTTGTTAAGTATTCGCGCCTATCATTACGTCCGTGTGCAAAGCAAAAAAAAAAAAAGCATATCAAGTAGCTAGTCGGAAGATTAGAGTTTTGGAAAAAGACTATTTACTTACGCTAGTTTTTTGTGAAAAGCTTCGGCGGAGCAATTACTAAAGTCCGTTCCTTTGCCTCCCATCAGACCGAGATCCTTCCGGGGCAGAGATTTACAAGGTGTGTCAGCATCATGATGCATTCCAAGACTGAAGAGAATAATAATAATAATAATAATAATAATACGGAGAAGATATTACAGGATTTCTTGATCCAGACAGATCGTGTCGTTGAAGCACAAAGACACGACCTTATTGTTATACCTAACGAGAGTAGCACGTGTTTAGTGACTTTGGTGTTCCATATGATAAAAAAGTGGACTTCAAAGAAGTGTAAAAAGAGAAAAATACGACGATATGTCACGGGAGTTGAAAAACTTATGGCTTATGACTGTTGAAGTAATTCCTGCAGTAATGTGTGCACTTGGAACACCACCCAGAAACTTGAAATGACACTTAATGAAAATTAGAATTGAGACCAAGATTGCAGACCTACATCGTTTACTCAGCGACGATTCTTCAAAATGTACTTGAGTTGTGAGGAGTCGTGTTGACACCATGTTCAAAGAAGATTCCCATTAACTACGTCAATGTGCGACACCAAAATAATAGTAATAATAATAATAATTGCTCTGATCCTACTCTAGGCATGTGGCTCTCATGGTTTCTGACCTTAAGTACCTGAAGGTAGTAACATGTATATGGTTTGTCTGAGTGAATTAAAATGAACTACAGTAAATATCCCGTTCAGATTTACCTGTCAGATACCTGACTATAACTATTTGGATATGTCTCTTAGGGGGATTGGCTCATTGCGAATTTCTGCACACCTAGAAACTTAGAAACAATTTCAATCGGGGACTCTCTAGTCGGACTTGAAGGTACTTATAACAGAGTTATACTTGCAGTTTTAAATTTATTAAAATCTGTTATCATATCGCGTTCATTTGTCTTTACTTCATGTAGTTGATATTTCTTTATTAGAGCAGCATGAGAATTATATTTAGCTATATGTATTTTGTACTAAGTGTCAGTTTTTGGAGAAACATGACAGCCATAAGATATTATGGAATTTCTCACTCCAGACAGATCATGTCGTTGAAGCATGAAAACCCGACCTTATTGTCATATATAAAGGGACTAGCAAGTGTCAAATTAACTTTGCTGTTCCATTGTGATACAAGAGCCGACTTCAAAGAGTCTGAAAAAATACCAGGATCTAGCTCTGGAGCTGAAGAAGCTATGGAAATTTTTTTTAATCGTTTTAAACTACAGTAAATATCCCGTCCAGATTTGCCTGTCAGATACCTGACCATAAGCATGTCTCTTAAAGGTTGGCGCATTGCTAATTTCTGTTCATGGGCAGTATTAGCGGTAGCGGGTAACATCATAGCTGAGTATCGATAGTTTTTTTTTTTTTAATTATAAAGAGTAAATTATCAAGGTGACATGAAAGACACACCTAGAAACTTAGAAACAATTTCAATTGAAGACTGTCTGGTCGGACTGTCTAACTTGACTTGAAGTTACTTCTAACAGAGTTTCACTTGCAATGTTATGCGTTGCTTTTATTAAAACCTGTTATCATATCGCATACACATGTCTGTACTGCTTGTACCTGATAATTCTTTATTAGATTAGACAGCATGAGAGTTATATTTAGTTTTCGTGTATTTTTTACTCAGTGTCAGTTTTTGGATGGAGGGCTTCTATCACAGTCATTCACTAATAATAATAATAGGATCTGCTAGACATAAAGCGAATATAAAAGAAAGTGTAAATTTAGAACCGGGACCTCGCCCGGAAATTGTGAAAAATGTGGAACAGAAGGAGGATAGGCGACGGTACGATTGGATTGGTAAGATAATGCTTTGGGAAGGATGCTGTGAATCTGGCTTCAACTTGAAAAAGAAATCGTATGAATATTAGCCAGAAGCAGTAGTAGATAATGAAAGTCGCAAAATATTATGGGATTTCTCTGTCCAGACATTGCAGCACGAAGACCCGATCTTATTGTTATAGATAAGCAACTTAGAAAGTTTCAAATTATTGACTTTGCAGCTTTATATGATACAAAAGTGGACTCCAAAGAAAGTGAAAAAAAAAAGCTATGTCCTATGACTATTACAGTAATTCCCGTAGTAATGTGTGCACTTATTATAAATAGTAAATTATTAAGGTGACTTGAAAGACACACCTGAAAACCGGAGACTCTCTGGTCGGACTTGAAGGTACTTCACTTGCAATGTTATGCGTTGCTTTTATTAAAACCTGTTACCATATCGCGTACATGTGTCTTTAGCGCATGTACCTGATATTTCGTTATTAGATTAGGCAGCATGAGAGTTATATCTAGTTTTCGTGTATTTTTTTAATCAGTGTCAGTTTAAAATATATTTACAAGATGAGAAATCACTTATTTACACGATTTGCTCGAGTTAATTGATGTTACTAGTTTTAAAAACAGTAAATATTATGGAAATGTTTTTGTCATCAATACAAAATGGAAGAATCATATCCATAGACATTGGACGAATAACCATATTAGACACATTGAACAAGAACAAAAGTTGCTGAAGATGAGAAACACACTGATTCGAAACAGTTTTGAAGATGACATGACGAACTATGCCCTAAAATAAATACGAAAAGAATTTAAACGAAACCTTACTGAACTGTGATGAAACGCTATACGCAACTGCGACTGTTATAAGATTTTATACTACGAATAAAAGAGAAGCTTACAGGTGTCCAATTTCATGAGCCATGGCAACATATCTGCCCCAAGAAGTTCCCATAGATACACCACAGCGGATATTAGCCCTGCAAGCTCCTCCGACCCACGCCAGTCCGATTGGGGAGATCGGTTTGTGTCTGAAAAACAAAAACAAAAACGAAATTGAGGAGTTCAACATCAGATAGATATGCAATGTTATGTTCGGGTGATTTTATTAAATAATCAATTTTTCTTTTCTTTTCTTTTTCGGAGTTGAATAAGTGTATTTTTCCATTTTGTTACAAAAAATAAACACATTTTTCATTTTGAGTACTTTTTTCTGTTTGAATTTATGTAATGAGGAATTATCATTATTAGCATCACGTCAGATGCTGGGATCGAAAAGGAGGCCGACAACAGACTGGCAAGGGCGAGCATAGAATTTGGCAGACTTTACAAAATTCTGTGGTACAACAAACATCTGAAGAAGGGTACTAAGATCAGAGTGTATAGAGCTATCGCCCTCGTCACTCTCCTATATGGCTCAGCGTCATGGGTCACTTACCAATACCACCTGCGATACCACGAACGGTTCCACTTGCGTTGCCTCCCTCACAATCCTTAATATCCTCTGGAGTGACTTCATCACCATTATTGAAGTCCTTGAAAAGGTGAGGATCACCAGCCATGCTACTGAAGTCCCAGTTGCGCTGGGCTGGACGCGTTTCCAGGATGGAGAATCATCGCTTTCCTAATTTTTTTGTATGGCGAGCACTCCGCTGGCTATGACGGCAGAGAGGCACCAAAGAAGCGATCCAATGATTGCCTGAAAATTTGGTGCCTGTCACATCAACCATTGCTGCCAATGGTCAACCCTAGCTGGGAATCGTGGCGCCTGGCGTCTCACTACCAACCATGCTGTCTTCATCTTTGAAAATACCTGCAGGGCCGCTCTCAGGGACAAACCTGCCTGCAAGCGACGTGTACAGACTCCCTCTTGATCTTCGTTTTGCGAAGCCAAGCCATGATGATGACATTGATATACAGTCAATCAAAAGTCCTCATCTTTGTTGTTGTTATCACAACATTTCGGCTATAATTCGAACATGATTTCTTCTCTTTCTTTATATTTTAATGCGTTCTTAATTACCTGGCGTATTCAATATACAGGGTGTCCACAAAAAATTGACATCATTTGAAATGTGAATATCTGAATCACTACATGTCCCAAGCCAACAAAATTAAATCGGCTTCATGTTGAACAATAAAAGATTTGTTTATCAAAGTTTGAACAAGACATTCAAAGGGACGTAGATTTTCACAAACGTTCAATATGCGCACCGCCTTTGACACGACACAAGTCAGTAGTCCAGCTCCTGCCAAACACGTTGTAGCATGTCTTGCGTAACGTTCTCTAGCACTTCAGTTATTCTCTACTTACGCACCTCTAGGCTTGTAGGAAGAGGAGGGATATAAACCCATTCTTTCACATAGCCCCAAAGTAAAAAAAAATAATCACAAGTTCTCAGGTTAGGTGAACGCGGTGGCCATTTCAACAGAACATTGTTATTATCACTGGCATACCTGATCCATTTTCCTGGTAGATTCAAATTGACATAAGTCCGGGGTCAACTTGCATTTTAAACATTTTGCAAAAATTTGAGATCATTTGAACGAGGCTGTTATTAGACTCCAAAATGGTGTCAATTATGGGAGGGGGACAGACTGTAAATGTTTTATGCTCCACTTGGCTGGAGATAAAAACAACCGAAACTTTAGTAAAACATTGAAACGATCAATATGAGTATACCGGTCCGAATAGCAAAGCTTATAGTAATACATATATCTGAAAAAGGACGGATGGTACAAGTGTCGAAGCGTTGTAAATATAACAACCAAGATGTGCATCAGTCAGTTATGTGTCATGCGTGATACACGCGTAGTCGATCATGCATCTCTCGATACATGACTGACGAGGCAGATTTTTTTTCCTGCAGTAGGTTGCCATTTCTTTCTGCGGTAGACCAGTTGCCATTCAAGGCTACAGAACCCGGTCTGTCCTGCTATTTACCCATAGCTGGTGGGTGGGGGTAAGAAGAGGATTCATATCTTTTCCCAAGGGTATTAGCACAAGTGAATGTAATGGATTCGACTGGAATTCGAACTCGGCTCTCCGATTTCTCACTCCGAGCCGCTATCCATTACTCCACTGGTCCGAAAAGCAAATCATGAAGATGATTAAAATTCAGTTAAACTGACAACTCGCTTATTTCGTTTATGTCCTCTTCCCTAAATGAAATCGCCTTTGATTGAATCCCAAATATCAGATCTACACTTCTTTTTCTTCTTCTTGGGGCTTACTGTCACCGAAGTTAAGCAACGTCGAACCTGTTCAGTACCTTGATGGGTAGCCACTTGGATGTGCGAGTGATGTAATGGACAATGACTCAGAATTGTTAATTGGAAAGCCGAGTTTCAAGTTCCGTTAGGTTTGTTATATTCACTTACGCGCAAATACCCTTGAAAAAGATATTTTCTCCCCCAGCTATGGGTTAATTAGTAAGACTTGTATCACTAAACCATTATTCTCTCCCCACCCCGCATAAATTATTATAATGTAAAAATATTTTTTGGATTTAAAAAACTGCAAGCCGTAGAAAACGAATCCATCAATCTTCTTTTTGTGCCGTGTTCCCTCAGGACGTTGACGATCATGGCTCTCCACAATTGCCTGTCTTTTGTAACTCTTAATAAATTTTGTCTAAATCTCTCCTAAATACTGTTCTGCCATCCATTTACGTAAGATCGTTTTTTTACTTCTATGTGCCATGCCCCTCTAGACATTGACGATCATGGCTCTCCACAATTTCCTGTCCTTTGTAGTTCTTAATAAATTTTATGTTTTGTTACCTCTCCTAAACCCTGTTCTGTCATCCATTTCCGCAAGCTCATTCTTCTTCTTTTATGTGTCATGTCCCTTCGGGATGCTGACGATCATGGCTCTCCACAATTTCATGCCTTTGTAGCTCTTAATAATTTATTTTGTTTTTTCTCCTAAATCCTGTTCTATCAGCCATTTGCACAAGCTTTTAAGGCATTGCTTACCTTTGTCCCACGTGCCTTCAATATATCACGTGGGTGTCAGATTTCCCAAGTCCTCTTTCCTCAGAAAGAAATTTAGAAATTTTAACTGTTTCCTTCTAATATTAACTATAAGTGTCCATTTTGTTTCCATTTCCTTTAAAACTTCGTCATTGTGACGATCTAAGCATGTAATAAATATTTAATGTTGGTCTTACCCTGTGATCATATATACAATGTCGTAGGGTTTTTTATCTTTATTCCATTGACAAAGCGAGCTCAGCATTGTACTTAAAGAATTGCTCACGTGGAACCAATCCTGGAAAAGAAAATGTGCAAAATGATTTTCATTCTCTGTTAGATAATTAAAAATTGTTTCAAATGTTCAGGTACACACACACACACACACACACACACACACACACACACATATATATATATATATATATATATATATATGTGAAAATATATAGAAAATAGGAAGGAACTGGTTAGGTAAATAATCCTACTCAATTTAATTTAAAGGATTATATTGAAGTTTTCGGCTCTTGTTTTTGAAACATGAGACCTCTTATGTAGCGATTTGGAATCATATTTTTTTTAAATAAATAATTATATATATATATATATATATATATATATATATATATATATATGGTGTGTCCAAAATTGTCCAAATCGTGTAACATAAAAATTATACAATTGTTAGATTAAGCTCTGGACAGTTTGATATTATAAACGATTAAAAATATCTCAATGGAATTCTCCGAGGTTTTTATAATACTATTGGGCTCTACTTTGAGCAATAAGAATCTATAATTACTCTTTAAGCTTAACAGAAGAATCTTGATGAAATCGACCAAAAACGAAAGTGACATATTAATTATTAATTAATCAGACCTAAGGATCGAAAGCTCATGAAGGATTGAAATAAAGTTCAAATACACACACACACACACACACACACACACACACATATATATATATATATATATATATATATATATATATATATATACTAGCAGTTGAGCCGGGATGTAACAGTAAGAGATAGATCAAGTATCGACCATCATAAAGACTGAAAAATAAAATTGACAAAGATTATTATTTAAGGTTGACGGACACGCATGTCTTAATTAGTTTTTTTTTTGTTTTTTTTTTACGAATTGGTTAAACCCAAACTCAAACAAAAACATTGTTTTCAATCGTTATGAGTCTACCGATTGAATAGAATTTTTCAATTTTATTATAAACAATTGTCTTGTAAATGGTATTTTTATAGCATTCTGAATGTAAAAATAAAGAAAAAAGTGTGCAAGACAACAAGAAACACTACCTGCCCCCAAAAAGTGAAATCGGTTGAAAAATGTAGGAAATCCGATCCCATATATAAACGAACACACACACAACACACACACACAACCTGGGTTTTATAATAAGTATACTCGATATGAGTTGTCCCCCTTTCATTCTCGAAACACCGATGCCTCTTAATCGTGTTTTCAAATTGATTTGATGCAAAAAACAATTGTGTTTTTTCTAATTTGGGGCACTGTCAGATGATGATGCAAGGTAATTTTACGTGGTCCTGATGAAGTTTTATTGAAATCGGTTGAAAAATGTAGGAAATGATGATCCAATATATAAACGAACACACACACACAAACACACAACCTAACTTTTATAATAAGTATGATATATATATATATATATATAATTATTTAAAAAAATATGATTCCAAATCGCTACATAAGAGGTCTTATGTTTCAAAAACAAGAGCCGAAAACTTCAATATTCAAAGTTCCTTCCTATTTTCACACACACATATATATATATATATATATATATATATATATATATATATATATATATATATATATATATATATATATATATATATTATATATGATAGAAATGGACAAAGTCCGACAATTATTCAAGACATTTTTTTAATGTTTATACGTTCTTTTTATAGACACAAATAATTAAGTAAATGCTCTGTTTATAATAAACAGTATTAACAACATTTACTGGCCTGAAAGTCCAAGAAATTTTTATAGAAAATATGCGTCCTCCGACAGGAATCGAACCTGTATCCTATACGGAATTAACAATTATTTTTTTAAGTTTATTATGAACAGAGCATTCCCTGAAATATTTGTATCTATAAAAAGAACGTATAAACATAAAAAAATCTCTTTAAAAATAATTGTCGGACTTTGTCCATTTCATAATGTATGACGTCATTTGTTTACATTTGGATTGAGTAGAAATGAATGAATGACAGAAAATCATAGTGAATTGTATTTGAAAACAATAAAATCGACCTTGCTAAACAAACGCTCCTCTGTGGCTCAATCGGTTAAGGCACGTCAGGATATATGACGTGTTACGTGGAAGATACAGGTTCGATTCTTGTCGGAGGACGGATAAATATAATTATTTTTTCCGGGTAGAAAATAGATTTACTTGAATAGCCAAACAGCTTAATTAAAAAGCTGTTAATTAAACAATCGTTTATTTATTAAAATATCACTAATTAATACATGCTTTTAAATCAGATCACCCGAAGCAAGGTTATAAAACTACTAAGATGCAGCGGGTTACTGAGAGTGAAGGCAACTGAGAGAACTTTAGTGGGAGAAAGGAGCATAAAAGAACATGATTCAGATAGATGACGACGATTGACGTTGCATTTAAATTTTTGAAGATCGTAGTTGTCAGTAAAGCAAAAGCCGACAGAGAGTTAGTTATACAGGCGAGAAGTGCGAGAGAAGAAACTATTAGAATAGAACTTACGGTTATATCTAGCACTATCAACAGTAAAATAATGAGACCTAGCTGCCAATCTAGTATTATGCTTAAATTCATGAAGTTGGGGTAGCAAAGAGGAAAGCTCATCAGAAGAATCTCCATGAAAATATTTATAAAGAAGGCACGGGTGAGCTACGTTACGGTTGTGGGAAAGTCGGTTGAAGACGGGATGTCAGATCAAAGCCGATAACATTGCAGATTTTCTTTGGAACTTTGTCAAGTATTTCTGGATACAAGGTTGAAAAGGAACAACAGCAGTTATATTTTATTTGAATTTTAAAGATGCATGTGTTGACCATCTTCTAGAGCAGTACTTCTCAAACTATCTAATATGGCGGGCGGGCATTTTTTTTCTCAATGTCATGTACCTGTAATATTTCGTAGTAATATTAATTTATACCGGAATCGCTGTATATAATGAATATAATAAAATGTTTTTTATCTTCCATTTATTTTGCAAAAAATAATTCAATATCAAAACATCTAAAAAGTAATGAAAAATAAGCAGTTTATTAACACAAAAAGAAAAATTATATAACCTTAAGCTTTACTACTGAAAAGTAAGCCTGCTTCTTCTTTGTCAGTTTGGTACGAAAGTACAAATTCTGACGGTCCTGGCTCTAGCGGTGTATCGTTTGGATAGCATCTACCAATTTTTCAAATGATTCCTTACCATGGCCTGGACACTAGTCGCGTACCGTTAACTGATGGTTCGCGAAACAGCACCGGTCCGCGGACCACCACTTTGAATAGCACAGTTCTAGAGGATCTAATATGTATTCGCCATAATCTACAACCACATAAAACCGCGCTAAAAATAAATAAATAAATAAAAGAGCAGGCAGTTATAAAGAGATCGAGATAAGGAAAAATTGCTCACTGACGTCAGCAAAACATCCACGAAACAGCGTCTGAATTACTTTATCGACACGTTGACATTTAAAAATTGCTTTTAAATATTTACCATTCTGAATAAGCGGACTTATAGACAGAAATAAGCAGATAGAAATTATGCATATTTAAGCAACGACGTCTGCACACAGTAAGAGTCAGCAAACTAATGGAGCTGACAATTGGTAGAACACATTGCCAAGAGTAAGGCGCCAGACCAAAGGGGTTCACATTTCAGGTACATTCTTGCTAATGCAACGATAAACCCGATTAATGTTCTCTCTCTCTCTCTCTCTCTCTATATATATATATATATATATATATATATATACTCCATTATAGGCACACATGTTGTGGTACAATCCACCTAATTTACATAGTGGAGTACCGACCATATAAATATGGGTTGGTACCGGGAAGACGGGGATTAAGAAGAGATCCAATCCAGAGACTCTCTTTTGACTGCGACTAATGTCAACCCATTCTACAGGAACGGTCTTCCCAAGAATATACCAAACTATCTGTAAAATATTATTTTACACGTTCTTGTGTCAATACATTTTGTTTAAGTACATTTTGTGTTGTATTATTATTATTTGCATGCTTTATTTTTTTATAAACAACACACACACACATTATATAAATATATATATATATATATATATATATATATATATATATATATATTGTCATCCACAGACAGACTGTTTCGCTGTATCACAGCTCATCAGTGTGGCTGGACGTCCGGTTGCCTCTAGCTAGGATCGAAATGTATATATATGCTGGTGGGCAACTCGTGTCCGAGTACGGTCATTACTATATATCTTTTTGGAGAAAACTTACTGAAGTGCTGAACGGATATGGTTCTTTAGCCCAGCAAGGGACCTACATACTCTAGCACAAATAGGGCACTTAAGAGGTCCAACAGCTGGTGGTACATTATCATGAATTTTAAATGTTGCACGAAACCGCATCTGGGCCGTATGTTTTACCACAAATATCACATTTCAGTTGCTGCACATCTACGGTTTTATAGTCAATTGCCATCTTTCGCTGATGCGCTCTCAAGTGACTCCTTAGACCAGCCATCGACAAGCACACACTAGCAAATGGTAGATCGAGCTGCCTGCGGGTGTCTTCAGGAACCTCAACATGGGGACGCCTTTACGCACATCTCTTTTAAGCTTTACGTGCCTCCTCTTCTCATCTTTAAAGTGACGCCTTCCACTACTAGCAGCACATATGTTATATATATATATATATATATATATATATATATATATATATATATATATATATACACCTGCTCAGTCTGTTGACACCTTGCTTCCTCTTTTTTCTTTTGAAAAAACCTTTCTTCAATAATGTTAATCCACAGGAACATTTTTCTAGGTCAAATAATTTAGACATTTACTTTCTGTTCTCTTGTGATTTGATTTTAAAATATTTTTAATAAACTGTCTAAATAAATTTAAACCATTTTGTAATTTCGGTCTGACGCGGCAGATATTAAAAACTTACCTGTCGAAATAAATTTAGTATCGAATTCTTCGATTATGTGTTAAGTTTTTTCCTTTGATGCATATCATATTGTTTTGTTTATAAAGACATTGAGCTCTCTTCATGGATCTATCTTTTTAATATATTATATTAAAAAGACCTACTTGGATTATCCTTACCACTTACAGATGTGATATATATATATATATATGGAGAAAGACGGAAGTTTTATCATGGGTATCAACACTGCATGGTCACTGCCAGTTTTATGTATTACTGTGATATTTGAAGAGCAGATTGATACATAAAGAAGAGGATGGCTATGCAGCGTTGACGCCTATTTCTACATTGTCTTTTAACGCTCCGTTTCCGATATTGAGCACTGAGAGAGGGGGGGGATAAATATTCGTACCCCATGAATTTTATTAATTAACATAGTTATAACTGATGAAAAAACTGAAAACCCATATAATATTTCTACACCATTGCATAATGCTGCAATATGCAAAAATCAATTAGAAAACTTTGTCATAAATGAAATTATGTTATTTATAAAATTTTGAGGCGAAAAAAGTATTCGTACAAAATATGTCTTTAATATCAAAAAGCTTAAATTACCGTTATTTCCAAAATTATTTGTAAGATTTTGCTAGATTCTTCTAATTATCTTATTACTGGAACATTCTAGAACATTCTGCAATTCATTTCTTATATAAGGTTATCTTCGCACACAAATCATACACAATAATTATCATCATGTCGAAAAGGCAAAGAACTATCAAATTCGGCAAAACAATTGATCCTCAAAAATTGGAAGGCAAAAGCTATAGAAAAATAGCAGATATCCTGAATATACCATTTACTACTATTAGTTCCGTTATTGCAAAGTATAAAAAGGTGAAAACTGTTGAGATCTGGTGCACCACGCAAGATTTCTTCCAGATCAATGAGAAGAATTCAACGCAAAATTCAAGAAAATCCAATGACTACTCGGAGAGATATACAGGAAAAATTAAAAGCATCAGGTATTATTGTTATGAAACGAACAATAAGTAATAAACTTCAGAGAACTCGACTAAGATTGCGTTCTCCCCGAAAAACTTTACTACTATTGAAGAAACATAAGGGATGCCCGATTAAAATGTGTTGGTGAGCATAAGAGTAAACCTGGATCATTTTGGGAAAGTGTTTTATGAAGAGATGAAACAAAAATTGAACTGTTTGAGCGTAATTCAAGGACTCATGTTTGAAGAAAAGACGGCACAGCCTTTTCAGCGAAGTATTCAATCCCAACGGTGAAATTTGATGGTGGCAATAACATGGTTTGAGGATGTTTTTCTGCTAATGGTACGGGTAATTTAGAGATAATAGATAGTAGAATGAATTCAAACATATACCAAGATGTTTTGGACTGTTAATTTGTTTGGGTCAGTAGTAAAGCTTGGACTCCCAAATGAATGGGTTTTGCAATAAGATAATTACCCTAAACATACGGCTAAATCTACAAAAAAACGGGTTATTGAAAACAATGTCAATACACTCGAATGGACATCACAGTGTCCAGACTTGAATCCAATGGAAAATTTGTGGGGTTTATTAAAAATTCAAATTAATAAAAGAACTCCGAAAAACATCCTGGATATGAAGAGGACATGCAAAGAAGGGAATCTTGCAAATCATTGATTAAAAGCTACAAAAAGAGATTGATTGATTGTTGAATTGAGTAAAAGATATACTACAAAGTATTAAATAGGTATTATAATTTTCTATGTATAATTTTTGCCTCCAATTTTTAAAATTTCATACTATTTAATTAATATAACAAATTTTTCTGATTTTTTTTCATATCACAGCATTATATATATATATATATATATATATATATATATATATATATATATATATATATATATTATATAAATATTTTATGGCAGTTGTTCTGAGAACTCCTCCTTGTTATTTAGACCGCATGAATTTAAGCATACTACTCTAAGCTTTAAGCTTTTGAATAAAATATTTGAATGAAATATTTGATGTTGATATAATATTTTTTCTGTATTTAGATATTTTTAAATATTTAGTGTTTTTGCTTTCTATTTTTTAAAAAAATATATTTTGATATTTGATATTTTTTGATAATTCTATATTTGAAACGCTAGAGAGATTTTTATAGGTTTGAAATGCCATAATGAATATACCGGATTTGTTTCAAGAAACACCATTTTCTTGATTTGAAAGATGACGACTCTTTGAAGTTGTTTTACTTTCGCATATTCGTATTGTACCTGCCAAAATAAAAAAGATAATAATAATAATAATAATAATAATAAATGGGTGTAGAAATACAAGTAAATCACAATAGCACCGACTAAAGTTGCAAAATGCTTAAAAAAGAAAGCAAAGGCAAATGCACCCGACCAGATACAGAAACGATGACAAGATAAACCGCTTCACGGTCAATACTCCGCCCGTACCAAACAAGCTGATGTAGACAAACCTCGTACCCATCAGTGTTCACGTAGTGCAGGGTTAAAAGCTGAAACCGAATGTTTTATTCTTGCTGTACAAGACCAATGCTTGTTAACTAAGAATTATCAAGCACACATACTGAAATATTGTTAGTCCAAAATGCAGATTCTGTGATAAACATCCAGAAACAATTGATCATCTTGTATCAGGTTGCACGGTATTGGCACCCACTGAATATAAAACCCGGCATGACAGAGTGGGCCAATATCTAAACTGGAAAACCTGCAACTTCTACAGGAAGGAAACTAAAAGAAATTGTTAGGAACACCAGCTAGATTCGGTTACGGAGATAGGACCTGTAACAATTCTATGTGACTTTACCATACACAAAGACAGATCAATGAAAGCTAATCGCTCAGACATCGTTATTAGAGACCGCAAAAAAAAAATGCCTCCTTATTAATACAGCAGTCCTTGCAGACTGCCATGTAGCTTAAAGATCTTCAAAAAGCTATCAAAATACAAGGAGCTTCAAATCGAAATCTCAAAAATGTGGCACATGGGAATATCAACAATCCCTGTTATAGTTGGGGCCCTGGGATTGATTGGAAAAGATTTCAATAGACTCTTTGAAGACATTCCTGGCAGCACATGCCTTAATAAAATACAAAATATGGTTCTCACGCGTACAGCTCACATCTTCTAACCTATGTAAAATATGTGACTTTTTTTAATTGCTCAGGAAAAATGTCATGATGCCATTTCTGACCTGAGGTCACTGATCGGGACACGGAAATAAATGAGTACACACAAGAAATCAAAAGAAATAAAATAATAATAATAATAATAACAGGGTTTTTAAAAGCATATATTAGCGTTTATATTATTTTTTGTAACTATGTTCCTCTGTTATGAACTTTTGTTCAAAAATAATGAAATATGCATTAATTTATTTTAGTTCTTGAAAAAGGACACTCTCGAACCGAAAATTCGATTTTACCATTTGTCAAAATATTTCAGAAGCTTTATTTTTCAATTTGCTAATGATGTAATTGAATAATACTTATGTGTTTTTTAACGCATTTAACAGTTTATAGCTATAGCATAACATACAACCTTACTAATATAAAAGGTATATATATATATATATATATATATATATGAACATTTCTCAGAGTTGACCTGTATAAAAGACAATATTTATGAATATAAATGACAACAGGAAAACTGTAGTAGTTACCAACGCGTTTCGTCCAATGTCCAATTTAAACAAAGTAACTAATAATAACAAAAACAGAATTTAGCGAACGCTATTTTCATACTATTAACTGAAAATTACGCCAATTACTGTCACGTGTAGAGATATTGTTATTATTGCTGTGTTGACGGATTCAACCATTTTCTTTTGATTTCACGATACTATTGTGTACAACATTACAGTTTTGCTATTGTCATATATATATATATATATATATATATATAAAGTATAATACGGCTCAGTAGTACAGCCATCCCATTCTCTGTCGCATGAGTTCGCTTCTGTCGGGAAGTTGAAAATAATAATAGTTCGAAACCCAAGAATTCATCCTTCACAGGTAGTACCTCTCCGTCGGTAGGGGGATGCGTTTATAGCCGGAGGCATCCTCAAAAATGGAAGTACCAAGGAAGCTTGAGAAATTTTTCCACGGTATTGGCGTTAAACCCACTTTAAACCCCGACCTTGTGTAACAATCAATAGCGACGTGGTTGCACTGAAACATCAACCCGTAGTACAACCATCCTGCTTCCCGTCGCAGGTGTTCGCTTATGCCGGGAAGTTGAAAATAATAATAGCTCAAACCCTTTGGTAAACAATCGTTATCAACACCTTCCCACCTTTCGTGTTTTATTATCTGTTCTGGTGAATGTATTTGCTATTTTGCTGTTTCATATACGAGCTTCTTTTAACCGGAGTAAATATTTCTGAAAACGTGTACTTGTGTGTAATACTGCAATAACAAAAGAGCAGGCTTAAGGATGCTTTATTCTGGTATTTGATACAAGCGTAGTGACTATTTATAGTCCCCTGCAAACAAAAGTGTTCTCCAAAGGGAGGTAAGTAGAAAACAAAATCACAAATACTACCCAGTTAATTTTTTTTTGGGGGGTGTCTTTAATTATCGTTCAAAATTTCTCGTATTATACCCAATTTTAAATATGGTACTTCTTTGTCTGTCTATATTTCTGGTTAGATTCAGTGACAGGACCCAAAGAGTGTGAGTTCAATACCCGGTTAAGGCAGTGGAGAACTTTCAGATGGAAATTAACAGGAGATAACTGATAGCTGACATCCTTCAATCATGGCACGTGGAACTAGAACAGTCAACCCGGGTGAGTGAAATAAAGGGTTCAGTTCGACATTCCACCCACCTGAAGAAGGCCGGAGCGTACAACGGCCGGAACGTTGTGATAAATATGGTGACAAAGATGAGGACAATAGTCCGAATAATGTAAATAATGGTACTTCTTTCATCAACATTTTTTTTCTCTTTTTACTCTTTTTTTTCACTCTTTTTAAAATTTACGTTATGCGCTAAAAAAAAAGAATTCAGCTTACCCCATTGAATTTAGAAAGAATATAATCAACTTTCTTCTGAACTGTGTCTGCTTTGGCTTTTTCCAAAAGTTTTGTCATATCTTCATCACAGTAGACTGCAAGCTCGATGATAACTGGTTTACCGTATTTGGATTCTGTGTCGAGTTCCTGTGACGTTTTCAGCAGTTCTATTTCACTGAAGTAAGTGGTCTCTTCTTTAATTATGACCTCTGCACAAAATAAAACAAAAGAAAATCAAATTCAGCATTAATACAGTATAAAGAATGCATAGTTGCTAGCAAAAAGGACAGACCAACATGCAAATTACAAATTGGAGTTGCCAAACACAAGCAAGTATAAAAATTTAAATATCTGGGAAGTGTTTCAACGGAGGTTGGAATGTGTGACATTAGAATCCGAAGACGCACTAGGATAGCGAAACATGCCTTTCAAACCCTAAGCAAAGTATTAAGAAACAAAAGATTTTCGTTAGAATGAAGGAAAAGAGTACTGAGCTGGTACGTAATATCAATCTTCCCATATGGCAGTGAATATTAGACAATATCCTCACAAATAAAGAAGAGATTTGAAGCAACAGCAATGTGGTTCTGCAGAAGGATGCTGAGAATGCTATGGACTGAACGTGAACAACAACGAAGTTTTAGAGTAAATGGAAGCATAAAAGAACACTTATACTTAACATCAGGAAGAGATAGTTGAAATGTCTAGAGCACATATTAAGAAAAGACGGCTAAGAAAATTTGATACACACAGTACAGATTGAAGGCAAGAGAGACAGAGGAAAAAACGCCTAATCTAGTAAATGGATGTCAGAGCAAGTTTTAGGAGAGATAACAAAAAAACGAAAATTATTAAGAGCTCCAAAAGACAAGAAATTATGGAAAGCCACGATCATTAACGTCCTGAAGGGACACGGCACATAGAAGAAGAAGATTTGGTTGGTTGATGCGTTTTTTACAGCTTATCAACCCATTGCCCGTTATTTAAAGCCAGAAAAATATTTTTAGAATGTAAGAATTGTATTTATTTATTTATTTTATAATTTATTTATAACTTGTCCCAAAGGGTATTTGCACATAAGTGAACATAACGAACCCAACGGGAATTGAAACTCGGCCCTCCGATTAACAATTCCGAGGCACTTACACATCCAAGCTTACAGCAACTGGTATTCCCAAGCAGTCAACAATCTAGATAATGACCAGGCTCGGCGTTGCTTAACTTCGATGATAGAATGAAAGAAGAAGAAGAAGAAGAAGAAGAAGAAGATACCAAAGAGTAGAGACGAGTTTTAACATCTTGAAATAGTGTACACTACAGGCCAAACATTTTGAACCACCCTCTGGATTTAATAATTAATAAGTTTCATGCCTTCTTTGATTTAACTAACTCCCACTAATCTACGATGCTGAAGCTATTTAACCCGTTAATACACAGTGAAGTTTAAAAACTTTAAACACTTTAAAAACCGCCAGTCCTAAAATTCGTATAAGCTAGCAACGTAGATTATGTAAAAAGTGCTGAAGGAAACTTTATTCACTCATGGGTAATTTCATTAATATTATTGGCTATAATCATTTCGGCCCAAGCAAGGCAGAAATGCCACTAGTCTGGAAGGGGTTACAGGGATGGAAAGTGAAAGAGAAGACTGAGAATAGTGAGGTTTGAGGAAATGATAAAAGATGAATGGGATTCAAGAAGCCAGAAGATGGTAATTGATGTTGCATTTAAATTTTTGAAGATTGTACTTATTAGGGAAACAAGTAAACTAAAAGGAGTTCCACAGGCGGGAAGTGCGAGAAAAGAAACTGTTGGAGTAAAAGTGGCAGTTGCATTTAACTATTTTGGCAGTAAACGAATGGGACCTGGATGCCAATCTAATAGCACGCTTAAATTCATGTAGTCAAGCCCCAGGAAAAAAAAGCTAGTCAGAGCAGTTGCCGGGAAAATATGTGTAGAAAAAAACAGAGAGAAGTCAAGTTAAGTCGGTGGGAAAGTGACTGAAGTCGAGATTCCTCGTCAGGATTGATTTCATTACAGATCCTTCTTTGGATTTTGTCAAGAACCCCAAGATGTACAACAGGAGCAACAGTATTCAATGCACGGACGAATGATAGCTTTATAAATGAGCAAGATGGATTCTGACAGGAAAAATTCTTCTGGCACGACACATGACCCTATTTTCCTTGCAGTAGATGCAACTATTGATTAAGTGTAGTCGCTCCATTTGGAGCGACTATTTTGAAGTCAGTGGAAAACTACATTGGAGTCAGTGGGAAACTTGAGGACATGTGAAAGTGTGTGTGTTTGTGCGTTGTCAAAACTTAACAAATAGTAAATAAGATGACCTTACCAAGATCGTCATAAGGCCATTCCTTTGGTTTCCTTCGTTCAGCCACAAGATGTTGTCCGTCCTCTAGAGGTTCTAAAATGTACTCGACATCATCTACCACCATAAAACCACGCTAAAATGATAAAAGGACAGACAGTTATAAAGAGATTTAGATAATAGAAAAAAAAATCGCCTGCTGACGCAAGCTCAGCGACGTCAAAATGGCGTCTCATTTCCACTCTCCGCATGTTGGCATTTATCAATTATTTTCAAATGTCCACCATTTTGAATATATATCATTACGGGCAGTAATAAACAAAAAATACTTATATATGTGCAACGATATCTATCCAGTAAGCTAATCACTGGTTAATGGCTAAAAATCAAAAAACTCACACTTAACCATAACTGTTGTAGCTTTTTACCAGACTAGAGACTAGGATATAATATATTTATTTATCTAGCTTTAGCGATTAAAGCACTTTCTATACATTTTCGCCTTAGGAAATTGCTTTCTCTTTTAATTAAAGTAGCATTTAAATCAAATGTATAGTCAAACTCATTACGTTGAATATTTAATGCATTTAATGTATTGTTTTGTAAAAGGTCACTTTTGTGTTCATCTAATCTTTTATTTAAATTCCTTGAGATTTCTGCTAAGAATTGCAGGTGAAAGGGTAAAATACCCTCTCCTCCTCTCAAGAAGACACCTACCGGTAGCTTGAGGACTAGGGTATAAACGACAAATGTTTGCCTATGGATTCAAGTATAAACATGGCAGTTTACCTATTGACTCAAGTATAAATGCAACCAATGTTTATACCACGGTATAATAAAATAAAATAAGTTTTTGGTATTGATTAACTCAAAAATGGTTGATATATCATGAAATCCTCCAACACGAAGCCAACCAAAATTGAATTTTTTTTTAAATTAACGATTTACAATTCGGCGGGAAGCTGATTTCTTCTCCGAAGAACAATTAGTGTCGCAGTCGCCGATTTTAAACACCTGGTGTATAATAGCATGAAACTCGAATTTCTTCATCTTTGCTTCGATACCCATCCAAATAAACAAATCAAAGTAATAAAAAAGACAAAATAAATTCAATTTTCAAATAATATAGAGAACTACGCAAGGGGATAAAAACAATCACTCCGATATGAGGGCCAGTAAAAAAAAAAAAAAAAAAAATTTAATACAGGAACTGCACAAAGTATGTCAAAATGAGTACAAAGCTTCCAGGATTCTAAATCTAATCCTCAACAAACTCCGTCCTGGTTATGACAATAAACTAGATCCGCGTCCTGGGTAAGACGATAAACTACGCCCAACAGCAAGGCCTCTGATCAGGAGGTTTTGAGGAGTGTGGAACCAACTATTAATTGCTGGTGTTCCCAGTTCTATCCTGACTCGGGGTGGTAGCACCTCTTAGGGTCCCAGCTACGGGCAAATAGTTAACCCCGAAACTGAGGTAAAAAGCATTATAAAAGCGTAAAAATAGGTTTTGATACCAGAAATACTTTGTAAAAAAATTATTACCTGAAATAAATTTTTGAAGAAAAAAAATATTTCCAGCAATACATGTTTTAAAATAATATTACCAGCTATATATTTTTGAGGAAAAAAATATTACCAGAAATAGATTTTTGACAAAACAAAATATTACCAGGAAAAAAAAAGTTGTCGGAATTAAATAACCCAATGAGGTCGATATGCGGTAAAACACAACAAACTAAACCAAACTTCAACAGACTCCTTTTCGAATGAAAATATAAGATTCTTGGCTGTAATCTTAGCGATGGGTGTTGCATTATTCGTCTCAACATTAGTGAATCGTTGTCTTCTGGGTGCTTTCTGCGCGGACCGAAACAACTCTAGATGACCAGAGTTTGTCAGCTGACCTCTCCTCTGACCTAGCTCTAGAAGCTCAGCGGGTGATCTGGGCGAAATGGTTGGTCCTATTTAATGCATCGAAAACAAAACTAGTGACATTCCACCATCGCCGATCGGACCCAGAACTTTCACCAATCGCGATGAATGGATGTTCCCTCAGGGAGACGCCATACCTTGAGCGTCTGTTGGGACTTAAACTTAATCCAGACCTCAAGTGGAACTCGTACATACGATCCATCGCTAAAGATGCTGGAAAAATGGCCTGTTCTCTGTACCGCTCCAGCAAGTACCTGACTCCTCTTGTTGTCTTCTACCTTTACAAGATCCAGATCAAGTCGAAGATGGAGTTCTGCTGTCATATATGGGCGGGAGTCGCCTAGTCTTCACTTTCCACTCTTGATAGAGACTAAAAGTGTCTCTGCGTTATTTTCCACCTTACGACCCCTTTCTCGCTTTTATATAGATCATCGCCAGAACTATCATCAATTACGGCGAAGGGATGTTCCTTCAAGCGCCTGAGCGCCTATTGGGACTTAACCCAAACTTCAAGTGGAACTCGTACATACGATCCATCACTAAAGATGCAGGAAAAATGGTCGGCTCCCTGTACCGTTCCAGTAAATACCCGACACCTGCTATCCTCTGCCTTTACAAGAGTCAGATCAGAACTAAAAATGAGTACTGCTGCCTTATATGGACAGAAGCTGCCGAATTTTCACTTTCCACTCTCGATAGAGTTCAAAAGCGTCTCCTCATCCCTTCCTTGTGTGTGACGAATTATTGTCCAACCTACAACCCTTTAAGAATAGACATCGCAAGCCTCTCGCTGTTCTATCGCTATTTCCATGGCGAGTGTTGATATGAATTACACACCTTAGTACCATCAGTCTTAACCTTCCCGCCATGCCATGCACTTAGTAGCAGACAGCCCTTATTTCCTTCGTATTCTTTTGGTGAGATGTAATTTCCATTCAAGCAGTTTCTTCCTACGAACCTCTGACTTGTGGAACCGACCCGATCGTTACAATCTCGACCTAATCAAGTCTAGGGTTAACTGTTATCTTCCTCACCTCCGCATAAGCTCTGCTACGCACTTTGTAACCCTCTACCTTGAGTGCCCCCCCCCCCCGGCTTTGTACATGGTAAACATCATTGTAAAAAGAAAAATTGTGCCAGGTCTGAATTTTACGGTGGATGAGTCAAGGTTGTCCAGTAATACGCTTTGACTCCTTGCTTGGTTTTAAGCAGCTGTGGAGGTTTGCATTACGATATTGCAAAAATACATCATTCATCTTCAAATATAACTGTAGTAATGGAATGTCCCACACTGCCTATCGCCTATGTAGATTGACTATATCAGTACCTATATATAGTGAGCACAGTATATATCTGGGGGCTTTCTTCGGCAATTAGTTGGAGATTCGTCTCCAGTTGGTTAGTCGAACTCTGCCTTTGGACAGAGAGGAACCTAGACTAGGCTATGCCGAAGGGCAAGTCTCGTCTGGGATGGTAGACAGCTACCCGACCCCGTTTTTTATGGGGTTTACGGGGAATTTTTGCCCGAGCCTACGTACTCGGATAACCCACGTTAAATTCGGCCTGTGCCACATCTGACCGAGTGGGTGGTTGGCAAATATCCTTGCTTCGGAAATTATTTGGAAATTCGTCTCCAGCTAAGCTGGTCGAACTCTCTGACCGAAGGCAGAGAGGAACCCAAACGAGGCTATGCCGAAGTGCAGAGTCTCGTCTGGGGTGGTAGACAGCTAACCGACCCCGTTTTTACGGGGCCTGCGGGGAATTTTTGCCTCAGCCCACGGGCCCCGTTTTTATCCCTGCCTTAAAAACGGCCTCGTGCCACATCCTGCCTCGCGAGGAGGTGAAGTAAATAACCATGCTAAGGCAATTAGTTGGAAATTCGTCTTCAAGCAGAGAGGAACCTAGACAAGGCTATGCCGAAGGGCAGAGTCGCGACGGGGGTGGTAGACAGCTACTTGACCCCGTATATACGGGTTCTACGGAGAAATTTTGCCAGAGTCTACGGTCTCGGTTTTTCCCGGCCTTTTTAACGGCCTTTTGCCACATCCTGCCTCGCGAGGAAGTAGGGTAATTAACCTTGCTTCGGTAATTAGTTGGAGATTCGTCTCCAGCTATGTTGGTTGAACTCTCTGCCTTCGGGCTTAAAGGAACCCAGACGAGGCCATGCCGAAGGGCAGGGTCTCATCTGTGTTGCTAGACAGCTACCCGACCCCGTTTTTTACGGGGTCTACAGGGAATTTTTGCCCGAGCCTACGGTTTCGGTTTTTCCCCACATTAAAAACGGCCTTGTTCTACATCCTGCCTCGCGGAGAAGTAAGGTAAATAAACTTTCTTTGGGAATTACTAGCCTGCCACCCGATTCCCTGTCTTTCAGTAGTGTATTCTCTTTTATAATAAACCTCTCTTCTTTCATCTACGTGCGTGATGCTGTTCCTTCACTCAGGTACCACCTTTGTCTGTTTATAACCTTTTTAAGGATACAACAACTAACCTGTATTCCAAGAAGTCTTACTCTGTGTTTTGACATCGTGGTAATGTAGGAGGCAAGACTGATTCTGTTGGTCAGTCACTATGACCAGTTTTCTCTATTTTCTTGAGGACCGCCATATCCTTGCTGTGCTTATATCGAAGCACTTGTTAATGTTTGCAACACTTTTAACTTCTAAAATCAGAGATTCAAGCTCTTTGTTTTCTACATGGGCAGCTATATTGAAAGAGGATTATGGGTAGAAAATAAGAAGTTAATCCCACAAAATTTTCCCCTGTTCTTTTAGACATTTTATAGCTTACTAGGTTTTCCTATTTTAATCTTCTAATGAATCTTAAATCTTAAGTTAATGATTGAATAATCTCCTTGCGAGTTCTACGACTATAATATACCCGTGAAAATCCTCCTGTAGCACCGTTAAATATTTGAGCTTAACAACTTTAAAAATATTACAGTATCAATCATAAATATGAACACAGGCCATTATCTAAAGAAGTAAGAAGGTACAAATGTAAAGATTAAAAACTGACAAGGTTTTCCATTTCACTGAAGCAGACGTTAAACGTATAAGTGTGTTATCGTCTCCTCCACCTTGTTTCTCCTTTCTTTCTTTCTTTCTTTCCCTTTGGCATATCTTTCATTTCGTTTATCTTCGTAACCAAAGAAGAATTGTCCATTTATCTTAAATTTTGGGGCAGGGGGCATGCAAGCTATTACAGGGCGTGACGTACGTACAAGGCAACGGAGGAACGAAATATATATGAATCGTAATTCTGATTAATACTTATAAAATTAAATTAGAACAGGCGTTACTTTTTTACCGATCCTCGTTCAACAGAACAATGGATAGTTATTTTGTTACTGGTTCATATTTGCTGACTTATGAAGTAAGTTATACGTACCAGTCGATCACAATAAGAAAGTGAAGCACTCCCCTCATGGTCATCGATTCCGCCCACCAAGTGGCAAGAATGCGTCGCAGGCAGATATTTTCTTTCTGAGTTCGATCCATTAGCAACTATTATTTCGGCATTTTGATGTAACACTGAGGTTGGATGTTCTAAAGCAAGACTATAGTTCATTCCATTGATTGATACATGTATTTTGGTTGTCTCTTGGGTTTCTCTTCTTCTGCGGAGTCTCCCCATATCCAATCTGTAAATCATATGAAAACACAAAATTGAACATTCCTTGTTTTGAATGTACAATAAAATGAGGAGGAAAATGAGAAAAATACCCGTCAAAAATCGGCTAGAGTTTTTACGTGCCGATTAATAGTTCGACTGATTCATTTTCTGCCTGTATACTTAACCTTGGACCAAAGTGTCACTCCTAGGCCTATGATCAAAAAAGTATCACACACACACACACACGCACGCACACACACACACAGATTTTTCTAACAAGATTTTTCGAATATTCAGCTCGGTGGATATAAATAAATATAGAAAATCTACTCAAAAATGATTAAACAAATAAATTAAAAATATGTCGGATTTAAAGCATTTCACACACACACACACATATACATATATATATATATATATATATATATATATATATATATATATATATATATATATATTAGTAGCAGTATAACGTCTTCGACCGGGTGTTTCATTACTGGGAACTGCCGTTCAGTTGGAGCAGTTTAAGTTGAAAGTCAGCCAACCCGGAAATGAATATTAGTAACAACAATTGGGTGCAACTGAGGCACATCCCCAAATGGGGGGAGGGGTAACAATTTGAATCGGGGGCCCTGAAAAAAGCCGTTTTTGCGTTCTCAATCTTGCAAGGAAGGAACCCCATCCATGGACCGGTATAATAATAATATACGATAATTTTTATTTATAATATATTTTTTATATAATTCTATTAATCTTATGCAACAGATTTCAACTGTCTAAATTGATTGAACGCTTTTTTTTACAGACATTAATTTTTGCCTTTGATTTTTGCGCAAAGTGTAAAAAATCATTTTTCACCGTCAAGGTTGTAAATTTCCAACCAATTTGTCCTCAAAACTGGCAATGAAGAATTATCTATCAAACAAAAGACTCATCGAAATCGGATGAAAAATGTGAAAACGCATAAGCAACATCCGATACACAAACACTTTTTGAGAATTATATATATATATATATATATATATATATATATATATATATATGCAATACTTCTATAATTCATATATATTCTATATTATATATATATATATATATATATATATATATATATATATATATATATATATATATATATATATATATATATATATATATATATATATATATATATATATATATATATATATATATATATATATTGAACAATAAGAAAATAAAAAATTAAAAAATTAAAATCATTAGACACACTGGGTTTGTAGATTAATATTCTTTCGTTTTTTTATTATTATTATTCCATTTAGATTCCTCGACTAGTTTCGACCGAAATGGCCATCATCGGGGGAGGAGAAATATTTCTGCTTGCTGTTGGCAGTGAACTACAGAAATGAATGTCTTTTGTTGGAGAAAATGAACTTTTGTCTGTAGTTTTCATTTGTTTTTATTTTTTTATCTTTTTCACATAAATCTTTTAACAATTCCTTGTGTTGGTCAAACAGTCTCTTTTAAGTTGTTATTTGAGATAAGAACTGGATAGATACATTTTATCCTGAAATCTCTGGTCAGTTTGACAGTTTTATTGGACCTGGTGAGGGGATGTGTCTCTGTTTAGTGTTTGTGTGTGTGTTATTTGGTTCTTAGGGGTGTGAGTATATGTGTAAGCGTGTGTATTGCTGTAGGTGTCTGTTATCATTTGGCTCATTAAACATTATTGAGTATATATTTGTGTACGTGTGTATAATCGTTTTGGGTGAGTGTTGTTATTTAGGCCTCCATTCCTCCGTAAGCATGTCTGTTTATTTGGGTGAGAAATGTGGGTAGTTTTTTGATTTGTTGAGTTATATATTGTTACTATTATATGTTGTTAAATTTAGAATTTAAAATGGCGTTTTTTTTGTTTTTTAGACGTTGTATCCACTTATTTTCATGGGACTCTAAAATCTTTCTAATGTTATCTGCTCTGAACTTTTCTATTCTCTCAATTATAGTGAATCTGGCATTTTATTTTTGAAATCGTGTTTTTCTAGGCGGAAATGTTGTTCTACAGGTAATAACTGTTTTTAGGAATTCGATTTAATTCGCTTACGATAATTATTAATTTGAGTTAAAGGGCCATTCAGATTTTCTAAAATATTGTTTCTGGCATAGTTTGCATTCTAGGAGGTAAATTATGTTTTTGACTTCTACAGTTAGAATCGTGGTAGATTTTGAAAGTAGATTTAGTGATTGAGCTAGTGAATGAATTCGTGTTTTTAAATATATATATATATATATATATATATATATTATATCTGTGTGTGTGTGTGTGTGTGTGTGTATATATATATATATATATATATGTGTGTGTGATATATATATATATATATATATATATAAATATATATGTGTGTGATATATATATATATATATATATATATATATATATATATATATTTTAGCTGTTCTTATTGGAAAATGCTCAGTGATAAAAATAACATATTCATAGTATGGATATGAGTGTAAAATATTCTAAAATATACTATCATATACAAACTTTGTTTATTATTTTGAAAATTGAATCTATTTATGCTTGTTTGTTCTAGATTATGTTTGGTGGTAGGAGGGGGAAATCCTCCTATGTGTACTATTTGGGATGACACTCTCACACAAACAGACATACATGCATACATGTGTACGCATTATAGTTCACACAAACGCACGCATATAAACAATCCGACATTAGGCGCAGATAGACATCCAAACATAATCAAACACAAATAAGCATAAATAGATTCATTTTTTAAAAAAATAAACCAGTTTGTCTGATGACTGCAAAAGCGTGAAACCAAGGGTACAAATATATATCCATACATATGAATATATATATATATATATATATATATATATATCCTTAAAAGAGAAACTGAATATATTTATATATATATATATATATATATATATATATATATTTAAAATTTAAAAAACAAAATATATTTATACATGAGTTTATATACATACATATATATATATATATATATATATATTTCTTAAAATTTAAAAAAAAATATATTTATACATGAGTTTATATACATACATATATATATATATATATATATATATATTTTAAAATATGTAAAAAAACAAAATATATTTATATATATATATATATATATATATATATATATATATATATATATATATATATATATATATATATATATATATATATATATATATGTATATATATATATATATATATTTATATATATATATATATATTTATATATATATATATATATATATATATATATATATATATATATATATATATATATATATATGTATATATATATATATATATATATAAATATATATATATATATATATATATATATAAGAAAGGGATTACCTTGCCGACTGTTAATCAATAATAATAATATTTTAATAATAGATGCAATAATAATAATAACTTCACGTTATTAGATTCTAGTGTTTATCATACATTCCCCTCACACTCCCCATTTTTTTTTTGTCCTGTGCATATTCGCGCGGTTTGAAATATACATTTCCCCACCCTCGTACCATTAATCATTTCATTTTTTAATGTTTTAATTGTATGTAGGGTGTTTGTGGGAGTCAATATATATTGCAATAATTGTTAAATTGTTCGCAGTCGACCCTGATGCGCTTGGGAACGAAACCGGTTGGTCTGTTCTGTAATTGTTATCATCTCTTATTTTTTTATTTTTCATAATGCCTTTAGGAAATAATTTGTATCTATTCCTTGCAATATTACGGTTTTGTACCTCCAACAATTTATTTAAATATTTTAAGCGGAGGTATTCTAGAGATATTATCAAAAAACTTGATAAATTTCTTCTTATTAAGTCAAGATTGAGAAAATTAAAAAATAATTGTAAATTTCTTGAAGCCTGTATTGATAATCATGTTTGTACCTCCTCTTTTCTGTTTAGAATTAGGAGTGCAAAACTGAATCCAGGTCTAAAAATTGAGGAGATTTTCATGAAGGATTCTTTTCAGCTTTGTACAAATAGAATCCATCAACTGACCCGTGATTTTATTATTCTTCGTAGAGAATGTCTAACCTACCTTTCATTTTTTGATAGGATTAGTTTCTGTCATTATGTGGTCTCTGTTCATTCTAAATGTTTACGAAAATTATATAGTGACACACAATCTAAATTGCAGCATTTAATTAATAAACGGTTTGGACATATTGTGGAACCAATTTCGGGAGTTATCGTTAACCTGTCTACTTACGAGCTTTCTGAGCTAGAGTCTAGTATACTTTCGCATGGCCTTGACCATTGCGTTCCATTTAGGGTTCCTGATAAGGAAAAAAATTTTTCTGAATTTGAAGTGTTATCTTCGCAGTTGTGTAGACTTGTGCCTCGCTCTTCTGACTCACTTTCTAATCTTAAGGCTACTCTTAATAGTTTGGCACATACTTATGCTTTAACTCCTGTAGCCCTTTCTGAGTCTAAGTGGAGTCAACAGCACCGGTCCGTAGTCAGGACTTTAAAAGCAAATAATAACTTGGTTATTACTCGTCCTGATAAAGGGGCTGGTATTGTCCTATTGGACCATTCTGATTATGTCTCTAAAATGCAAAGCATTCTTGGTGACACTACAAAATTTCTTCCTCTTGGTCCAGTAGAGACACATGATCGCACAATTCCTTTAGAAATTAAATTTCAAAAGAAACTCTTATCTTGGGCTAAACGTGGTTTCATATCCCGTGAAGTCACTGATGATATTAGACCTGTTGGGTCTATTCACCCTCGTCTGTATGGTCTTCCGAAGACTCATAAGGATGATGTACCCCTTCAACCCATCCTGTCCATGTCAGGCTCGTCTCAACATAAGGTTGCGAGTTTTCTTTCAAACCTTCTTGAACCTTTCAAACCTTCTTGAACATTTTAGCTCGTATACTATTAAAAATTCTTTTTCGTTTATTCAGGTTATTCGTGATACTCCTTCTAAAAATAAATTCATGTGTTCCTTTGACGTAAGTTCTCTGTTTACTTTTGTTTCAGTAATGGAAACTATTGATATTTGTTGTAACATGTTATATCGAAGTAGTTTGTCACCTCCGGATATCCCAGAAAATGTGTTTGTTGAGCTTATGCAATTCGCTACCATGTCTGTAGAGTTTAGCTTTAACAAAGGAATGTACAGACAGATTGATGGGTTGCTATGGGGCCCTTTTTGGGTCTAAACTTTGGCCAACATTTTGTGGGCTTTTTATGAGTCGTCCTCCTCACTTATGACAATGCACTGTCTATGTACCGTCGGTATGTGGACGATACATTTTGTCTTATTAATAGTAAAGTGGATCCTGATTCCTTTCTCACAGTTATGAACCAATTTCATCCATCTTTGAAATTTACCATTGAAAAGAAGTCTAATTTTTGTCATTTTTTCTTGATGTCCTTGTGCATCGGACTCCTTCTCAATTTCTTACTTCGGTGTTTCGCAAACCAACGTTTTCTTTTTGTTTGTATACGCGTTGGGACTCATTTTGTCCCAGAAAGCGTAAAATCAATCTCATCAAGACCCTTAACTCATGAGGGCCTTGATGATTTGCAGTGAACAATATTTGATGAAGAATTGATTTTTATCCGCTGCACTCTATTAAAAAAATTGATATCCTAGTGATATTCTTGACAGTGTCATGCGTGATAAAATTATTAATTTTCGAAAGGAAAAACAATACTTAGTTCAGAAATGTCTTATTTACTTGCGGCTTCCTTTTATTGGTTCCCGGGGTGAGCTTGTGGCTAAGGCGGGTCTTGTCTGCTGTCCATCACTGCTATTTTTCTGCTCAACTAGGATTCATTTTGCGACTCGTTCTGCCTTTACTACTATCCGTAAGGATCCTCTTCCTCCCCATCATGTTTCCTCCGTGATATATTCATTTTAAATGGTTACGGTAGCAACTTCATAGGAAGGACATCCCAACGTTTAGATTGTAGGATCAGGCAGCATGTCCCATTGCGAGTTCTTAATCCGGATGCTCGTAAGAGCCAGTTGGTTAATACTTCCGGGTCAAGATCACTGAACATTTGATAAATTGCAGGATTGTGCGAAGAACTTCAATCCGAATTGGTTTACTGTACTGTCCAGTTCGCACTCTCCATTTCATTTGAGGGCTTTTTTTGAGTCTCTGTATATTCGGTCCAGGGAGCCATCTCTTTGCAAGCAAAAAGACTGTCTCCTTGGGCTTCACGTTTTTAGATTCTAGTGTTTATCATACATTCCCCACACTTTTTTTTTTTTGTGCTGTGCATATTCGCGCGGTTTGAAATATACTTTTTTTCTTTTTTTCCCCCTCATACCATTAATCATTACATTTTTTAATGTTTTAATTGTATGTAGGGTGTTTGTGTGAGTCAATATATATTGCAATAATTGTTAAATTGTTCCCAGTCGACCCTGATGAGCTTGGGAACGAAACCGGTTGGTCTGTTCTGTAATTGTTATCACCTCTTATTTTTTTATTTTTCATAATGCCTTTAGGAAATAATTTGTATCTATTCCTTGCAATATTACGGTTTTGTACCTCCAACAATTTATTTAAATATGTATATATATATTTATATACTTATATATATATATATATATATATATATATATATATATATATATATATATATATATATTGTTCTTGACAATTCACAACAAAACATCAAACACTACTTATTTATTATATTGTTTATTGAAATAGTTTTCAAATCATCGGCTAACTGCCAAGTGATTCGAACTTTCCTAACATTGTAAATAATAAGGCTACAGAACCCAGTCTCTTTGGTTATTTAACCCATAGCTTTGTTTCTCAGACTAGAAAGACTGTTGTTCTGAACTTTGGGAACAATTAAACTACCATTTTTGATCCCGTCAATAATAAGCGGAATTCAGTAATTGTACTTTTTAAATTTACGAAAAATTTTAAAGAAATAACTTACGAATGCAAAGAGTTGCTGAGATTTTCTGAAAGTTCTGTTACGTGTAACCTTTCATAATCATCTGAAAAATATACAAAAAAAAAAATGTCAAAAACCAAATATATCAGAAGTAGATATTTTTTATTCAAATTTAATGGGAGTTTTTGGGTGTCTTTTTTTATCTTATCAATTTTTCGATAGCCATGTCTGAAAATCCAATCGATAATAAAGTAATTCACACAAAAACCGCAGTAATTATTTCCGATGAATAAAACTGAACTATCCAATTAACACTCGAATTAAGTTTTCTTAAATATGGAGCGTTCACCTTGATTCTGTCTGACGTACAAATGATTGGCGGCCACAATCTTAACTAAGCAATGTTTTAACAAGGAGTGGAAACTATGACACCGAAATCCAAATCATGGACTGAACACGTGAGCAACGATTAAGTTTTTGGGAAAATGGAAAGAAAAACGACACTTATACTTAACAACATCAGGGGAAGATTGTTGAAATGTCAGTTGCCCATAACGAGGAGAAAGGGCTTGGAAAATATGACACACACAGGACACATTGACGGCAAAAGAGACAAAAGTCGGTTTATGAATGCAAAAGCGTTTGATAAGGTACGCTAGAGAGAACTGTTGAGACTGCTAGGTAACCTTGGCATATTTGGAAAGAATATTCGAATAATCCAGAACCTATACTAAGAACAAACCGCCTGCATACGGATAGAAAATTAATGTAGTAAATAAAAAAAAAAGTCGTAAGAGGTGCAAGACAAGGATGTTATTCAACTGGATCTATTCTTTTATTACTTTTGATTGGTTTGACTATGAATCATATTTAGAATCGTATTCTCCTTTTGATTGGTTCGAATCAAATATAGTATTTCCTTTTGATTGGTTTGAATGAAATATAGTATTTCCTTTTGATTGGTTAAAATAAGAATCATATTTAGAATGATATTTATTTTTATGGATCATATTTAGAATCGTATTTCTTTTTGATTGGTCAAAATAAGAATCATATTTAGAATGATATTTATTTTTGATTGGTTAAAACATGAATCATATTTAGAATTGCATTTCTTTTTGATTGGTTAAAATAAGAATCATATTCAGAATGATATTTGTTTTTAATTGGTTAGAAAATGAATCATATTTAGAATTGCATTTCTTTTTGATTGATTAAAATAAGAATCATATTTAGAATAATATTTACTTTTGATTAGTTTGAATATGAATCATATTTAGAAAGGTATTTTCCTTTTGATTGGTTTGAATCAAATATAGTATTTCCTTTTTGATTGGAAAAGATAAGAATCAAATTTAGAATGATACTTATTTTTATGAATCATATTTAGAATCGTACTTCGTTTTGATTGGTCAAAATAAGAATCATATTCAGAATGATATTTATTTTTGATTGGTTAGAAAATGAATCATTTAGAATTGCATTTCTTTTTGATTGGTTAAAATAAGAATCATATTTAGAATGATATTTATTTTTATGGATCATATTTAGAATCGTATTTCTTTTTTATTGGTTAAAATAAGAATCATATTCAGAATGATATTTATTTTTGATTGGTTAAAACATGAATCATATTTAGAATTGCATTTCTTTTTGATTGGTTAAAATAAGAATCATATTTAGAATGATATTTACTTTTGATTAATTTGAATATGAATCATATTTAGAAAGGTATTTTCCTTTTGATGGGTTTAAATCAAATATAGTATTTACTTTTTGATTGGTTAAATTCGTATAATCTTTTTTTTAAAAGAAAGCTTAGTTTTAACCAATCCACATTTTGTCATTTTTTTTATTATTCACTCGGAAATGTTCAGAATAGTGATAATGTAATAGTTAGTCCTTTCTTCTTTCTCTACTTTACTATCTTGTCTAAGAGTTCTTTCAGCTTTTTTATCAACACAATATCATTTTTTTCTTTTGATAAATAAAATATTTTTTCTAAACATACACGTTTTTAAGTTTTTAAGATACTGAAACTCTTACATAATGCCAGCTCTGATTTTATTATAGTTTTAAAAACAGACACTTTAAAATATATATATATATATATATATATATATATATATATATATATATATATATATAAATCAAAAACGGAGAAAGAGCACGACTATGCCAAACATTACTCACCGTAAAGTGGCAGATCAGAAAGTATAGCAAGAAAGTAATAACCAAACAAAAATGGCTGTTTAAATCACATACAGACTACATTTACACGCAGCAGTCATAGCATCGATCTCTGATTTATATCTTCTACCCTTTTTAGCTACTGTGTTGTTTGGTAACCTTGGCATATTTGGGAAGAGCATTCGAATAATCCAGAACCTATTCTAAGAACAAACCGCCTGCATACGGATAGAAAATTAATGTAGTAAATAAAAAAAAATCGTAAGAGGAGCAAGACAAGGATGTTATTCTACCGGATCTATTCAATCTTCTACAATGAAGCAATTCTGAGAGAATTACATCTATTGTTCGTATTCATTATTGGCGGACATAAACTTAACATTAGCTATGCAGATGGCACAGTGTTGATAGCAGACACAGAAAGAAAACTACAGGGACTCTTACAGAAATCAGTAAAGCGATAAGAAAGCACTAAACATCAAGAAGAGACAATGTATGGTTGTTAGCCAAAGAATTAGCCCAACATGCGAATTGGAAATACATAAGTTAAACAAATGCAAAAATTTAAAATGTTGTAAGAGAGTACGGAAAATTCGACATCAAAATCCAAAGGCATCTTGGGATAGCGAAAAATGCCTTCCAAATCGTAAGTAAACTACAAACGGGAAAATTTCGTTAAAAATAAAGAAAAATAGTACTGAACCGCTATGTAATATCGGTGCACGTATATGGTAGTGAATGCTTGACAATCTCCTCACAGTATCTGTCTATATTTCTGAGATGAGGTATTATGTACACTATTTACATTATTCGGTCTATTGTCCTCATCTTTGTCGCCATATTTATTACAACGTTTCGGCCTTTCAGTATCTGTCTATATTTCTGAGATGAGGTATTATGTACACTATTTACATTATTCGTACTATTGTCCTCATCTTTGTTGCCATATTTATTACAACGTTTCGGCCCGTCAGTATCTGTCTATATTTCTGAGATGAGGTATTATGCACACTATTTACATTATTAGGACTATTGTCCTCATCTTTGTCGCCATATTTATCACAACGTTTCGGCCCTTCAGTATCTATCTATATTTCTGATATGAGATATTATCATAATTCCTGGTATCTGAGAAGTTTCCAAAAGAAATATAGTGGGAATTGGACAATTTCTTACACTAGCCTCGTATACGCGTAAAAGGCCTCACGTTAAGTATAACCTTGTGTCAAATTTGCATCCCCAGATGGGGTAGGTAAAGAAACTCACCTGAAAGAAAACCATTGCGCTCAGCTACGACTAAGGCTTCACCTTCCAACTGATGCAACGGAGCTGTCTGAAAAAGTGTGTTAAAAAAAAACAATTATTTGAAGAGGAAAAACATGTGATAAGATCAGTTTGAATTGCTTCGACATAAAAAGTGAACTCTTCATTTTGAATGGCAAAACACGGCCATCAAGCATAATAATAATAATAATAATAATAATAATAATAATAATAATATACCAACAGATATAACAAGGTAGCGACATATGTGTACTGGAAGATATGCAAGAAGCACAAAATCGAAACCACTGAGAGATGGCATGACCACCAATCAGACACAATTACCCAAAATAACGATGTAACTATCCTAGTGGCTTGGAATTAAAACAAAAATAAAAGCTTTAAGAAAGATTTTTCATTTTTTTTTAAATGCATTTTAAACTTTAACAATCTCTTTTTTTTTTTTTTTTTTTTTTTTTTTTTTTTGAGGTGCCTAATTTTCTGCTGTCTCTTAATACTCTACTTAGCTTTTTGAAGGCATCTTTGGTCACCCCAATACGTCTTCGGATCTCAGTGTCGCACTTTCCGTCCTCTGTCAAAACACTTCCAAGATATTTAAATTTCTGTATCTGCTTGATTTTAGTGTCCTCGACCATAATTTTGGGCTCATCTTTTTGCTGATGACCATGCATTCTGTCTTCTTATAGTTTATGCTTAGTCCCTTCTTCTTGCTCTCCTTCGCTACCTTCTGTAGGAGATTTTGTAGCTTCCCATCCGTGTCTGCTACCAGCACTGTGTCATCTGCATATCTTATGTTGTTAAGATTGTGGTCGCCAATGATGAATCCTGGTAGGATTTCTAGTTCGCTCAGAATTGCCTTGCTGTATAGGTTAAATAAGTCTGGCGAGAAGACACATCCTTGTCTTACACTCCTTTTTATTTTTGTATATCTGCTGAACTCATTTTTTATCGGTGTGAAGTTAGTTTAATCTCACTAAAAAATTTTAATTATTCTGATGTCTTTCCTGAATATGTCAAGTTTGCTGAGCAGTTCTAACAGATCTTTGTAGCGTACTTTGTCGAACGCCTTTGCATAGTCTATAAAACACAGATACACGTTTTTCTGCATTTGTATTGCTCTTTCTGATAAGATTCTGAGCACAATAACGCGTTCCTTGTTCTGGTGTCTTTAACGAACCCTCGTTCTTGTCCGAGTATTATGTGACAGGAAAATTTCTTTGGAAACAAAGAAAAGAGTACTGAACTGTTAGGTGATATCTGTCCTCTTGTATGGTAGCGAATGCTGAACAATTTCATCAAAGATGAAGAAGTGTCTCGAAACAACAGAAGTGTGGTTCTACAGAAGGATGCTTAGGATACCATGAGTCGAACATGTAAGCAACGACAAGGTTTTGGAGAGAATAGAAAACAAAAAGGAAACTTATACATAACATCATGAAGATGCAGCAGAAATTTCTGGGACACATAATGAGAAAGGATTCCTTGGAAAATCTCTGATAAAGGCCGGATAGATGGAAAGAGGGTCAGGGAAAAGCAATGCGTGACATACTTATTGGGCTTGAGCAAATGGATGGAGTAACAGGGTCTGGAACAAATGACAAAAAGACAAAACTTATTGAAAACTACGTCAGGAAGAGGTGGTGGGCCATGATCGCCTCCGTCCTGAAGGGACACGACACATAAAAGAAAAAAAATTCTGCTGCTTTCTCTCTTTTCCCCATCCTCATTAAGTTTAATAAATGATTGGACTTGATAACCGTCTCTTAACTGAAAACACAAAAGTCGTCGAATTGTCTCAGAGATTTTATGTCTTGTCTTGTCTTGACTGGTCATGTCTTCTTTCCGGATTTATTTAACAATAGTACAACGCCTATCAAAATAAATAAATAAGTAAAAATGACGAAGATTTTTTTGTATTTTAAGGCCAGCAAAATTTTACCCAAATTGCTAAATAGCTAACTAGAACAGCAATATCGAAAAAATCAACCACACTGACCGATTCCAAAGTTTCGAAAAGACATGCGAAACTCTGAAGTCGATCAATGAGACAAGTTTATCGAACATTTATTGATCTCTGTCTATATTTCTGAGACGAAGTATTGGAATTATTTATGCTATTTACATTGCTCGGACTGTTGTCCTCATCTCTATTGCCATATTCACGACGCTTCGGCCATTGTACACTACGGCTATCTTCAGGATCTGTCTATATTTCTGAGATGACGTATTGGAATTATTTACGCTATTTACATTGTTCAGACTGTTGTCCTCATTTTTATTGTCATGTTCACGACGTTTCCGCCGTTGTATACTATCACCATCTTCAGGATCTGTCTGTGTTTCTGAGATGAGGCACTGGAATTATTTATGTTATTTACATTGTTCGGCCTGTTGTCTTCATCTTTATTGCCATATTCACAACGTTTCAGCCGTTGTACGCTCTGGCCTTCTTCAGGTGATTGGAATTTCGAACTGAACCCACAAGAACACAAGGCCCGTTGGATAAAAGTATTGGTTGAAGTAATCCAATGACTCGACCCAACGTATTGTGAGTTCAGTACATCGCTGCAGCAGAGATGAACAAAACTTGGAGAGTTGAATTAAAAGGGAGATAACTGATAATGGGATATCCGTAAGTGTCATGGGACGCGGAACTAGAATAATCTACTCCGGTGGACGAAATAAAGGGTTCGAATCGAATTTCAAATCACCTGAAGACGGCCGGAGCGTACAACGGTCGAGAAATCGTGAATATAACAAAACAAAGATGAGGACAACAATCCGAACAAGTTAAATAATGTAAATAATTTATTGATTTGTTGAATATTCATACATATATTAATTCACTTATTTATATATATATATATATATATGTGTGTGTGTGTATTTAATATGCATGTATGTATATTTAACATGCATATATGCATGTATGTATATATGTATATACAATATGCATGTATGTATATAAATATATGTATATTAATATATGCAAGCATATATGTAAGTATGTATATTTAATATGCATATACGTAAGTATGTATATTTAATATGCATGTATATTTAATATATATGCATTCATGTATGTATATTTGTATATGCATGTATGTATTTATGTATGTATGTATGCATATTTATATATGCATGTATGTAAGCATGTATGTATATTCAGTATGCATATACGTATGTTTAATATGCATATATGTATATATACGTATATTTAATTTGCGTGTATATATGCATATGTAATATGCAACTATATATGTATATATGTATATTTAATATCTATATATATTTAATATACATCCATGTATGTATGTATATTTAATATGCATATATGTATATATTTATTGTGCATGTATGTATATATAATATGCATGTATGTTTGTTTATTTTTATATATATATATATATATATATATATATATATATATATATATATATTAATTTGCATGTATCTATATTCATATATTCATGTACGTATGTTCGTATATATGTATAGTTAATATGCATTTATGTATACATTTATATTTAATATGCATGTATGGCTGTATGTAGGCATAATTAATATGCATGTATATATGTATGTATATTTCATATGCATGTATGTGTGTATGTATATTTAATATATACAAACCAAGGAATAGATACACGGACTGTATCAAGAACAACCTAGAAAATCTGGCATTTGACTTCAACAATTGGGAAGAGATGGCCCTAGATAGAACTGGATGGAGAGGTCAAATAAGAGACGGGTGTCAACTCTTTGAATAAGGTCGTCAGAAACACAAACGGCTGAAGCGGCGACTTTGAAAGGGTGATAACCATGGACTCGACGAGGGTATCAAGGGCTGGACATGTGATTTCTGTCAGCGCATGCTTCTTTCAAAGGCTGGCTGGGTGAATCATGCGAAATCATATAAAGAAAAAAAATCATCCTTGATATTCCCCATACACAGAGTGCCACAACCTGCACGCTGTGTGACAAGGTATGCGCAACCAGCTCCGGACTGAAAAGGCACATAGTGCTGCACAGGAATCAGCCACAGTGGTGGGAATGCATCAAGACTGTGGCAAGCATATTATTCGTCTGTCAATAGTATAACAAGTTAGGCAGGCCTGGCAAGTCACCTTCGGGGTCATGCACGAGAGAGCTGCGAGGTGCGGGGAGTGAACGCAATTAGGCGGCCATCATCTGTGAAGATGCGGCCCATCATCATATATATGTATATATATTCATATATGCATGTATGCATGTATGTATGTATATGCATTTATATATATATATATATATATATATATATATATATATATATATATATATATATATGGTTGGATAGATGTGAGTTTTGACTGGGTTTCACTTTAGCGATCGTCAGACAAACTGATTAATGTTTTAAAAAATTTGGGTTTATGTAGATTGCGTGTATTGGTGTTATTGTGGAATAATAAGTACCGCGCATATAATATATAAATAATTATACATATATATATTTATTTATATTTATATACACTTTTCACATATATATATATATATATATATATATATATATATATATATATATATATGATCTATGTATATATATATATATTTATTATGTATCTATGTATGTATATATATTTATTCTGCATCTATGTATGTATATTTAATATGCATGTATATAGGTATATATATGTATATATAATATGCATGTATCTATAAACTCAAGTATATATATTTAATATGCACATATGTATGCAGGTATGTATAGTTAACATGCGCGTATGTATGTATATTTAATTTGAATGTATGTATGTATGTATTTTCATATATGCATCTATGTATGTATGTATATTAAAATGCATGTATGTATATTTAATATGCATCTATGCACGTATACTTCTTATATACATGTATTTATATGTGTATGTATGTATAATCATATATGCATGTATGTACGTATATATATATATATATATATATATATATATATATATATATATATATATATATGCCTGTATATATATATATATATATTTAATTTCCATGTATGTATTTATATTTAATAATATGTATGTATATTTAATATACATGTATCTATATATTTAATATGCATGTATATATGTAAATTTAATATGTATGTATATTTAATATGCAGATATGCATGTATGCATATTTAATATGTATATAGGTATGTATATTTCATATTCATGTATGTATGTATATTTAATATACAATTATATGTGTATGTATATTTAATATGTATGTACGTATGTATGTACATTTAATAATGTATGTATGTGTATTTTATATGCATGTATTTATGTATGTATATTTAATATTCATGTACTCTTTCTTGCTTAATAATATGGAGAGGTCTAATAAATAACGTTAAACTTTTCTTGCGAATTCTGAATTTAGTGGTGAGGTCAAAAGAGTGCATTCTGTCGACTGGGGCCGGCATGAACTATTAAAAAATAATTTTAAGTTGCTAGGATCCTAATACGTGAATGGCGTTGGCAAAACGTTTACTATGCACGGGAGAATAATAGATCTGTTCAGTCAATAATTGCAAACGTATATATGCAAACGATAATAATGATGTCTTAGTTGTTAACATCCTCTGTACCTGCACGGGTTCAGAGGCTACTATTACTACTATTACTATTATTATTATTAGTAGTAGTAGTATATTACTACTACTACTATTATTATTATTAGTAGTAGTAGTAGTAGTAGTAGTACTATTACTACTACTACTATTATTATTAGTAGTAGTAGTAGTAGTAGTACTATTACTACTACTACTATTATTATTATTATTAGTAGTATTAGTAGTAGTACTATTTACTACTATTATTATTATTATTAGTAGTAGTAGTAGTAGTACTATTACTACTACTAATAATAATAAGGAAATTATGTGTGATTTCTGTATTAGCTGAGCTTACTAGAAACCCAAATATCTTAACACGCAAGTGCAAGAACAAGCGGAAATATAAAATTAAATCCTCAAATGAAATTCGATCATTGAAGAAAATGCTGAAACGGAAACTGCAGTTAAAGGCACAGAGAAGAAGACGATAGCATCAAGAATCCCTACTGTCGTTGGAGCCCTCGGACTGATTGTAAAAGATTCCAACAGACTCATTGAAGTGATTCCTGGTAGCCGATGCCTTAAAGAGATACAAAAATTGTTCTCGTGAGTACAGCCCACACCTTACAAAGGGCGTTAACTTTGTAAAATAAGTGTGTTTGTTTTATTTTATTTTATTTTAATTGCTCGGTGAAAAATGTCATGATGCCATTTCTGACCTTAGATCTCTGGGCTGGACCCGGAAATAAATGAGTACACACCAAAAATCAAATGAAATAATAATAATAATAATAATAATGATAATAATAATAATAATAATAACACTGCTAAAGTTCCAAAAGAGCGCGGTTTGAAAAGGAAAGACAACGTTTAACAATATTTAGACAGTACGTCTCTCTTCTTCAAGTTATATATGAAACATGTGTAACTTGAAGAAAACAGGCATGCTCTCAGACTTCGTGAGGAGTGAGAAAAGGGCAATAAAGGAGCAGGGTTCAGGAGACAGAAGATGGCGATTGACATTACATTTAATGTTATGAAGATTGCGTGTGGCAGGGAAGAAAGAAATTGAAAGGGGGTTCTACAGGTAGGAAACGCGAGAAAAGAAACTATTAGAATAGAAGTTGCGGTTGTATCTAGCTAATTCAAGAGTAAAACAGTAAGATCTAGATGCCGATCTCGTGGCAGGCTTAAATTCCTGATACCGAAGCACCAGGGAGAAAATCTCATCAGAACAGTTGCCATGGAAATATTTGTAGAACAGACAGAGGGAAGCCATGTCACATCGGTAAGAAAGTGAGTGAAGTCGAGATGCCTATAAATTCCATGTCAGGGGAAAACGTGAGGCCAAGAAAGCGTAGAGTGTTGTTCTTGAGGTTAGCATCAGCCATGCTGATGGCAGGCAGAAAAAGTTCCCTGTAGTGATTAAATGAAAGCAGTTTTGTTTTGGATGCGTTTAAATTTACAAGCCATCTCCTGTCCCAGTTGATTGGAGGTCATAAATGCCTAGTTGGAAAATGATGGAAATCAGAAACAGCGCAATCCCAAGGATAGAGCCCTGAGGGACCTCCGCGTTAGCTGTGAAACAGTATGCACGGACGTTTGAACCAGGCCTGCACAGAGATTTAAACCAGCCTGCACAAAGACTTAAACCTGGACTTCAAAGGGGTTAAAACCAGACACGCACAGATACCTAAACCAGACCTGCACTGATGCTAAAACCAGGGCTGCACAGAGACTTGTCTAGGTCTGGCACAGGCCTGTACAATTAAAAAAATGTGAATCACAAAAAATTAGCCGCGGTTCGCAAGTGTAAATTACTGAGTAAGAGTAAGATAGAAGCAGATAAATTGAGAGAGGGTTGAGAGAAAAAAAAATTTTCTACGGATAATTAAACATGATTACTTAGATACAAAAACAGCGAAATATTGGTTGAATAAAGTCACGTTTATACAAAACTGAATTTTTCGTACGCGATCACGAGCTGATTTTATTAAGATGAACGCAATTTTTTACTATTTTAAAAACCCTTCGCTGGCCGCATTACATGTGTTACATGCAGCCCACGGACCGTATGTTGTGTAGGCCTGTCTGAAATTGCAGACCCTCGAATAATAACATAAAAGAATTACAGACAGCAAACAGAATCGAAAACTAATGATTTTTTTTCTGTCACGCAAAAATATATTTTGCAACAATAAAAACAAAAAGAAAAGTGTCCGATTAAAGCTGTAGTTGTTTAGAATAGCGTACTAAACATATTATGATTGACTTTTGTTAGTGAAACTACACAGCCAACCGGAGAAAAAAATATTTCAAATCCGGAAATTTATTCTGGGGTGACTAATACAAGTGGTTTGTCTCAGTAATTGGAGTGTGTCAGAATTTGTTCTCAATATGGGTGAATCTAAATAAAAGTGGGGTCGGAAAATCATTTAGAAAGCCAAAAAGTGCAAAACTAATAAACACGGTGGTCGTATTAAGTTCGTTGGCGGAGGGAGTCGGAAAATTAAATAAACAATGCACCCTAATCAAAACCTTAGTGTAATTCCATTATGAAATCTCTCTAATAAAATTTCACACTACCTGTAAAAAAATGAGTTATTCCGTCGGAGTGGAGTAACAGTTAACGAGCACGTCTGGTAAATCATTAGTGGTGATTTCGATCGTCACGGGATTACCATTAAAAAAAACCTAATGTCAAAAAATGCTTAGCAAATTAAAAGTGAATTAGAGTTGTGTAAGGATTTTCGAACGAGTCTGGGTTACTGTTATTGTTATTGGCCTTATGTCAAGTGAAACTAAGCTTTATATATAAAAACAGTAAACGTGTATAATTTTCCTTACAATCCCAGACGTATTTGCTTCTGAAGTAGATCTGAAGCATATTTTAAAGAAAAATTAAAATATTTTTAATAAATTAAAAAATAATAAAAGGACTGGAATTGATTCGTAAAAAGAAAACAAACTTTTTTTTTTCTATTCTTTCGAAAAAAGAAAAATATATAACAATTTCTTTTAAAACTGTTTGTTAAAGTACCACCCATAAAATTTACCCGCAAAACTACAACACACTTACCTGAACTGCGACAAAAAGAAACATCAGATAAAAAAGAACCATTATAGCGTGTTGGGTCATTTTCGGTTGTCAGTCTATCGACGATCTGCTTGACTTTCAAATTTTGTTGCCCGTTCCGAAAACTAAAAATGATCTTATCAATGCAATCAGTTAAACGAAATATGCCGTTTTCTCACGTTAGGTTTTCACCGATAAACGGGACCACAGTCGACAACAACTGGTCAAAAGAATTAGGAGTCGATACGCTTTTTATATGTGTCGTTGTGTGATAATTTGTCATATTTCATCCGGGCCTTATTTCTTTTTTTGTTTTTATTATTTGTTTGTTAATGGTTCAGGAATTTATAGGAAGGTCTGGATAACCTAAACAGCCACGGAAATGGAAATCTGAGCCGTCATGTGTAGTGACATAATTACCGTTTTCATACTTCACAGTTATTGAGATTAATATTGTCTATAGTTTCATTCTTTTATTTGCCTCTTTTTTTGTTGTTGTTGTTGTGGGGCCATAAATGATTCAACCGATCCCTCAGTGTTCGTTACAAAAACAAGAAATCAACATTCCTATTCGGCTCCTAAAATTTTTTATTCAATTAAAACAACAAAGACTTTTCCAAAATATAATTCAATGATTTATTTCTTGAAATTAATAATGATTAATTGATAGATTGATTGAATGATCGATTAAATTGAATGACTTCATGAGAGATTGATTTGTTATACGAATTATCACACCTTTGTGGATCATTTAAAGCCGATACGTTTTTAGAATGCATAAGAATAATCCTTCAGTATCTTTCTATAGTTCTGAGATGCGGTATTGTAATTATTTATACTACTTACATTGTTCGGACTGTTGTCTTCATTTTCGTTTCCATATTCACGATGTTTCGGCCGTTGTACGCTCCGGCCTTCTTCAGGTGATTGGAATTTCGAACTAAACAGTGCAGGTCAGCCATCTTGGACCCCAAGGCCGGCGCTAAAGCGGTGGACTCCTGTATACGGTATTTATAGAAACTAACAAGGATAGATTGATTAATAGATTGACTGATTTGTTTTGCAGTTTGTCAACCATTTGTAGGTTATTTAAAGCCGGACCTTTTTGAAATGCTTAAGAATAATCCTTTTCGTTCCAAAGAAATACTTTATTAAAAATTGGAGGTGGGGGTAATATACAGTATCGTACAAAAGTCTTTGGTCATTTTAAACCAGTAGTTCCCAACTGATTTGGGGCCATGCCACACTTTGGCATTTCTAAAATTCTGGTCCCCCCCCTATAATATTTAATTCTTACATATTCAAAATTTTACTGCAGCTCACATGAATGAAGCAAACTGAATGCTAACACGCGCTGATAGGTCGACAAAACATGGGCTCTTCCAGCGACATGCATCACGCCTTCTCTTTTGTTGACCGAGACACGCGAGTATGTACATACATGTGCAACTGGCATACAGGGTATTTCCGGTCTTCCACAGACGGGAAATACCCTGTATGCCAGTTACACATGTATGTACATACACACAAAACATCCACAAATAAGATTACAATTATTAGAAATTTACAAGAGTTCAAAATGGTCGAAGACTTTTACACGATATTGTAACTTATATAACAAAGATTTTTCCAGATCCAACTTACGTAAAAATAGATTGGAATAAACGTTTTTCTTGTGGAACATTTCCATTTATAAACCGCACGGAAATAGTTCGTAAACTTCTATTCTATTATAGAGAAGCTAATCTAAACGAATTGGAACGCTATTTTCGAACATTTCTTTTAGGTTATCCTCTCTGTAGTACTTGGCATGTGTTTGTTGGAATTCGCTACAGACTATCAATACATATCGAAATGTGTATAGTTCCTGATATGATACGCACAACTGTGGTTTATTTTTCAGTAGATGTTGGTTGGTGGGCATGTGTGTATCGTATACAGAGTCTGGCTAGGACCATCGTCTCCCTTCTTATTTTTCTGTGACTCGAGTACCATTGAGAGCTTTGTATAAAACTTTTTCGCATGGTATACATTTTTTTTTTAATTTCAAAGATTACAACATTGACTTTACTGAAATTGTAAGTTCGGATGAAATGTCCAATTGTTAATACGAACCGCAAAATTTGCGAACAGTTACTTTACCTGGCACAGGGATCCGTCGCTGAGCTGGTAGTGTCACGACTATGACTAGCTCTGACCAGCTTGGACAAGCTATGACCAGCTAAGACCAGCTTGGACCAGCGGCCCGAGTGAAAACCCTCGGGTCCCACGTTAAAAAATAACCTTGTGTCACAACCTGACTCAGTGTGTGTGTGGGGGGGTCAAGTAAATCTCTACTTTCGATTATCTACTCTGTTGTACTTGGAATTCGCTACGGATTATCATACATGCACAATCGTGTTTGGTTACTGATATGGTATGCACAAGGATAGGTCTTCGATTTTGAATAGATGTTGACGGGTCGCATGTTTTTATTCTATAAGGAGTCTGGCTCGGACTCTTGTCTTTCTGTAGCCCGGGTGTCATTCTCCGAGACATGGCTTGATATTGTGCAATTTGTTGCCTTGACAACTGTTCCACAACTGTTCCTATCCGTTCTTCATAAACATGAAATTTTTATATTTGAGGGTCTCATGTTTAATGAATCTTTTACTGGTTTATCGGTTTTTTAGTGACCATGTATGCCAATATGGTTCGGTGTTTTGCATAGGAGAGTGACTTCATTTTTAGAAAGAAGATTTATCTTGTTTATAGTATCACTGAGGAGGGGATTTCTACTATTTCTGTTTTGCGATGATAGAAGTGCGGACTTAGAGTCGGAAAAGGTGATGGTTAGATTAAGTTGGTTCTTTGTAATGATTTCTCCTGCTAAACCTATTGCTACGAATTCGAAACTGTTTATACTAACAAGGAATTTGAAGATTTTTAAAGTGGATTTTTCCCAGGATTTCGGATGTGAATGATGAACCGATGCCATCGAATTCGGATCAGATTTCCGGAATTTTTGATAAGACACGCAAATATAGAAAAAGTACTGAAAGTAAAACTAATTTAAAGAATCTGTCTATATTTCTATATATATGTCTAAAAATTGCAATATGAGCTCTGGTAAAAACATGAAATGATAACAGCAAGAATTGCAATATGAGCACTGGTAAAAATGGTTGCTGAGACATTAGGTTTATAATACCCAGAAATTCATACACAGATGTCCTCAAGGCACAGTGGATAAAGGCGTTGGTTTGATCCAGTGACAGGACCCAAAGAGTGCGAGTTCAATACACGGTTAAGGCAGCGGAGAACTTTCAAAGAGAAATTAACAGGAGATAACTGATAACTGGCATCCATTAAAACTTGACACGTGGAACTAGAACGGTGTACCCCAGTGAGTGAAATAAAGGGTTCAGTTCGACATTCCAACCACTTGAAGAAGGCCGGAGCGTACAACGGCCGAAACGTTGAAATAAATATGGCGACAAAGATGAGTCCGAATAATGTAAACAATGTAATTTAAATAAAGTTACTACATATTTGAGAAGGATATTAAAATAATCCAGAACCTATACTGGAAGCAAATCGCCCGCATCCAGATAGAAAATGAATTCAGTAAATATACAAAAATAAAAAGGGGTTTAAAGTAAGGCTGTGTATTCTAACCTGGCTAATACAGCTGATAGTAAGGCAATTCTGCGAGAACTATAAGTCCTACCAGGATTAATTGGTGGCCATAATCTAAACAACATATGATATGCAAATGCTATAAGATTGACAGCAGACATAGAAGGGAAGCTAGAACAACTCCTACAGAAGGTAGCGAAGGACAGCGAGATGAAAGGACTAAGCATCAATTGCAAGAAGATGGAACCTATAGTTGTCACCAAAAGAAACAGCCCAACATGTAAATTACAAATTTAAAATACCGAAATCAAGCAAGTATAACAATTTAAATATCTGGAAAGTGTTTTAACAGAATAAAGAATTAAGAAACAGAAAAATATAAACCAAATAACTTGAAGACTTTCACCAGCAGCAACAACTAAAATGGATAGCACATGTACCTCGTAAAGAAAATAATAACTTACCGTATTTGACGACATATAAGGCGCACTTTTTTTTAATAAATATATCTTTTAAGATTCTCCTGCATTTTGTATACCATATTTAGGTATAAAATTCGCTACCCGGCAACTCCTATTAGCTTAGACTTAAACATGAAGGAGTAATGGAACGCATGGATGGTAATGCCTGATCACGACCTTACACTTACAGCAAGAATAAAAAGACCCAGAATTGCACAAATCTGCGAATAGGTGGAGCAAGCTTGGGATAATATTAGACCAGAAATCGTTGTGAAATCTTTTAAAAAGTGTGACATTAGCAATGCTCTCAATGGAACGGAAGATAACGCATTATTTAACAACGATGATAGTAGTACTGAAAATGAGTATCATGGTTTTAATAACGAAGACGACGAATTTTATGAATTTGAAGATGAATAAAATTTTAATGGTAACTGCGCTGTCTTGCCCAAATAATTGCTTGATCTTTATTTTGTTTTCTTACCTTTAGATATAATAAAGTTTTTATAGGCTCGTGTTCTTTTTTTCCTATTATTTTTCGTTTAATTGTAATTATGGCTTGTTTGAACAAAATAATAACCTCAAAAATATAGCCTAGGTTGTACTATTTACTAATAATTTTACAAATTTTACTAATTGCTAATTATTTCTTGATATTCCCTGCTGAAATTGGGGTGTGTCTTATACACTCGTGCGTCATATATGCCGTCAAATATGGTAATCAAGATGTTGACATTCCACTCTACTTCGAACAAAAGTTTAGGAAGGAAAGCCCCTATCAATACTGAAAAGAGCAATAACAGCTACTGGACTTGAGAAACCTATTTTCCTGAAATATTGTTTTCAGAGAAAGATTTTTAGTAATTTTCAACCAACTGTGACACTGGCTGCTCGGTCAATGAATTGCAAATGTTTCCTTATAAGGAAAAAGTTAATATTACCATTAATATTTCCTTAAGGTTGGGTAGCACCTGGTATATATTTTCCTTTATTAAAAATGTCTTTGTAATTTAAGCTATAAAATTCCACGAAAATGAATCAATCCAGGCGTGAATTTCTTCAGTTGAGTTGTTTGAGTCATTCTTTGCAGTTTCATTCAAACAAATATATGTTTTTACAATGTTATTTCAATCAATCAATCAATCAATTAATCAATCAATCTATCTATCTATCTATCTATCTATCTATCTATCTATGGTTATTTCAATCTATCTATATATCTATTTGTCGTAAAATTATTTATATCTTTCTAAAATAATTTCAATCTATGTATTTATCTCAGTCTATCTATCTATCTATCTATCTATCTATCTATCTAACTTTCTTAAACATATCTACCTAAAATATATGTTTGTTTAAATCTATGTAAAATTATTTCAATTTAGGTTTATTTTTATCTATCTAAGGTTATTTCGATCTATCTATATATTTCAGTCTATCTAAAATTATATTTTGTTCCAGTCTATCTAAAATTATATCAATCTATGCATCCAAGTCTGTTTATATCTATCTATCTATCTATCTATCTATCTATCTATCTAATATGTTATATAAATTGATCTATCTAAAATTATTTCAACCTAGCTATCTATTTCTTTCTATCTATCTATTTAAGATTATTTCAATCTATCTATCGATAATTATTGCAATTTATCTATCTAATGATCTAAGGTTTTTTAAATTTGTTTACCTGAAATTACTTCAATCTATCTATTTCTTTATACACACACACACACACACACACACACATATATATATATATATATATATATGTAATTATTTCAATCAGTCTAAAATTATTTCACTCTATGTATTTATCTCAGTATGTTTACATCTATTTTTTTAAATCTATCTAAGTTTATTTAAATCTAACGTTATTTTTATCTATCTAACGTTATTTCTATCTATCTATCTATCTATCTATCTATCTATCTATCTATCTATATATATATATATATATATATATCCATTAAAGAACACAGTGAAAATCCATTAAAATTAATCTCTTCATGTCTGAATTTCTTCTGGCCAGTTGTTTTTAGTCAATTTCTTTAGTTTCGTTCGGTTTAATATCGTCATTTATTTACACGATACCAACTTCTCAAAAGAGAAACGACGAGTAATCTATTTAGGGCGCTTGTGTAAATGGAGGAAAGAACAGGAACTGAGACGGATAATAAAGAGACATATTGCTTAGGATAGGAAGTTGTAGAGAGCCATGATCAACACGTCTTAAAGGGACACAGCGTATAAAAGAAGTAGTCGTTTCATCCCCTTAGTTGTTTTCGTCAAAACGTTTCAACCGTTGTACCCTCGGGCCTTCTTCAGGTGTCTATTGTCATTGGTAAAACTTTCAGAAATGTTGAACTGAACGCAGGGTGAACCTGGTCCAGTGAAAGAGACAAGCAACATCGTAAGGACGAATTAACTGACACAAGATACCCTTTGTCATCGGCAGCGGAATGGTAACAATCCTGTCATTGTTGATTGAATAAAGGGTTCGGTCCAAAATTTCCGAGAGTTTATCAAGGGCAAAAGACAACGGAAAAAGGCCGGAAAGTAAAACTGCCGAAACGATGTGATGATAATGACTAATAATGGGGACTTTGATTCAAGCAAATAATGGCTGAAAGAAATTATATAAAGGCTGCATTAATTAGAAGCCAATCCTAAATTTCCGAAATAGAGATCTATCTTTCTTTTGAAGTTGGACACTACCTACCTACCTACCTACCTACCTATCTACCCATCTATCTATCTATCTATCTATCTAAGGTTATTTCAAACTTTCTATCTCAGTTTATTTAAATTTAAGTCATTATCTATCTATCTCGTTCGCTCTCTGTCCTCTTTTCTCTTTCTCTCTCTCTCTCTCTCTCTCTCTCTCTATATATATATATATATATATATATATATATAATATTATAAATTAACTGATTTAAAATGTTTTTTTCGCTACACAGTTCTAACCATGTTTCAAAACTGGAAGCTAAAAGCTTAGAATTTAAATTTGTAATTAAATTAAAGACATTAGTTTCATTTCATCCTCAAGCGAATTTTGGAGTAACTTATTTTAAAATTTACGGGGTTTTAAAGGCACGGCAAAAATCATAATTTACAGTTTCCAAGGATACAGAGAAATCCATTCATCCAGACAAGGGGTGGTTGCGTGTTCATTTTATTAACTTTTGTTGTATCAGTTATTAGTTACGTTTGAAAAAGGGGTTATGTTTAGGTAGGGGTGGGGATGTATTTTTCAACGAATTCTAACATGGTTAGAACTGTGTAGCGAAAAAACCATATTTTAAATCAGTTAATTTATAATATTAATGCTCTGTAAATTTACATTGAGCACTATCTTGTAAAAATTAAAAATATCTATAAGAACACCGGATTATATATCTTATTGTTTTTCATATATATATATATATATATATATATATATATATATATATATATATATATATATATATATATATCAGTCTGTTAATATCTATCTCAGTTTGTTCATATGTATCTATCTAAGGTTATTTCAAACTTTTCTCTCTCAGTTTATTCATATTTAATTCATTATCTATCCCTCTCTATTTATCTGTCCTTTCTCTCTCCCCTCTCTCTCTCTCTCTCTCTCTCTCTCTCTCTCTATATATATATATATATATATATATATATATATATATATATATGTCAGTCTGTTAATATCTATCTCCATTTGTTCATATCTATCTATCTATCTATCTCAGTTTGTTCATATTAATCTATCTACCTATCTTAGTCTGCTAATATCTATCTATATCAGTTTTTTCATGGCTATCTATCTGTTTGTTCATATCTATCTATCTATCTATCTATCTATCTATCTATCTATCTATCTCAATTTGTTCATATCTATCTATTTATCTATCAGAATATTAACACGTGAGTATACAAATGGAAACATAGATACGAGTGCTGAAAAGTTCTCGGCCCTACTACCTTTACAAAATTTAAGTAAAGGACCATACATCAGAAAACTTTTCCCCCACGCTTTACATATTGTATATTTAAGGAACAACATTTTTATACGGGTTTCATTGAACGTGCCAGATAAGGGAAATAAGTTTTTCTAATGCTCTAACTGTTTTCTGTTTGGAAGTACAAAAATTTAAATATCTGGGAAGTGTTTTAACAGAGGACGGAAAGAGCAACACTGAAATCCGAAGGCTCATTGGGATGGCTAAAGATACTTTCCAAAAGCTAAGCAGGCTATTAAGAAACAGGGAAAATCATTAAAAACAAAGAAAAGGCTACTAAAATGTTACGTGATATCTGTCGTCGTATATGGCAGTGAATCTTGTACAATCCCATCAAAGATAAATAACCGACTTGAAGTAACATAAATGTGGTTCTACAGAAGGATGCTGAGGATACTATGCACAGAATATGTGAATAAATATTAAATTTAAGAGAAAATGTAAGCAAAAAGAAAACTTATATGCTAGGGCACGTAATGAAGAAAGAGTGCTTGGAAAATCTGTTACCCACAGGACAAATTGAAGGCAAGAGGGACAGAAGAAAAAAATGTGTAACCTACTTAGTGAGCTTGAGTACATGGATGTCGGAACAGGGTATAGGAGAGATAACGAAAAGACAAAATTAATTAAAAGCTAATAAAGACAGGATATTGTGAAGAGTCATGATCGCCTACATCCTGGAGGGACACGGCATATGAAGAAGAACGGAGTACAGAAACTGTCCATAATAATTATTATCCAAAGTGCTTTCGGACAATTCATCAGCCATTTTTAAATGGTTCGTTGTTAGTGTTCTAAGATGTTTGTGCAGACGTAGTAGCAATTTTAGGCTGTCCGAAAGGAATAAGTATATTTCATTTTAATCAAAGTGTGTCCCCGGGGAAAACAAACCCCCACTGAATTTTTTTTCCCTTTGATATAAATTAAATTTAAATTTGAATAATGGAATGACTCATAGGGTACTTGGATATGTATATTTCATTTTGATAAAAGCGGGTCGATGCGGGGGGGGGGGGGGCATCTCCACTGAATTTTTTTCCCTTTGATTTAAATTAAATTTAAAATTGAACAAGGAAATGACTCCTATCCAAAATATAGAAGATGAAAGCCAGAAGATGGAGGTCACATCGGCAAGATCAAAATGAGACAATATGGATGTCAAGTTGTGCAATAAATCACCAATCAGTGTGTAGTGCCTTACAATACATATTTGTTGCGACAATTCAACTGGCATATCAATGTCGAAATCAGCTGATTAATTAATTCAATCAAGTGTTGCATCAAAAACATATCAAACGTGTCAGATCAAGCTGTTTTTACACAAAACCCCCACTCATTTTTTTTTACCTTTGATTTAAATTAAATTTAAATTTGAACAAGGGAATAACTCTTATCCAAAATATAAAAGGAGAAAGCCAGAAGATGGAGGTCACAGCGACAAGATCATTGAGTAATATTTAAATGCATCATTTTTCTCCACAAATTATTACAATGATTTAAAATCCATCATCATTTTCATACAAAAAAATGTATGAGATGCAGCAAGGCGCGAGTAGCTTGTCTAGTATATATATATATATATATATTGTAGTATATTTTTAATATTGGCGTTGTTTAGATTCTGTAGGGATAATTTTATTTGATTATCAGGGACGTACTTGAGAAAATTATTGTTAACCAATATTTCTTTCATGTATGTCTCTAAAAGAAATATTTTCCGGTATGAGGTGTGTTCAAAAGCTATAAGAACAATTCCGGCATTGTCTCGCTTCCTTGAACAAAAAAATGTAAAATTCGGTTTCACCGTTCTAAATGCTATCACATTTAAGTGGCTTGAAATTGATATTGTTGAACGAAGGGACCCCGAAATTAACCAGATACAGTTTCATAAACAAACAAAAGACTAAATTCTGGATACAACGACAATTGTAACAGTTGAAAGCTCTCGAATTAAAAAAAAATAAAAAAAGTACCTCAGTAAGTTTAGCAATGGTAAAACAACATAGAAGTTAGAGAAACTTAATACAAAATGGACAAACAGACTTTATCGACATTGTGTTCGATTAAAACTTATCATATATATATATATATATATATATATATATATATATATATATATATATATATATATATAAAATAAATATTAAAATAAAAGAAAGAATACTAGATTTATAACCCGGTGTTCTTATTAATTATTTTTATTTTTAAATAACAGTACTCAATACAATTCTGCAGAACATAAATATTATAAATTTTTCTAGTTTAAAAATATGGTCCCATCGCTACACAGGAATTACCATGTTTCAAAAACGGAAGCTAAACTTTAAATTTAATTATAGAATTAAATTAAAATCCTTAGTACTGTTTCATTTTCACACGATTTTTGGAATAACATTTTGAAATTTCAAAATAAGTTATGTTATCAATCAACCTGATAACCTAACTGTCAGGGTTTCAATTCTCGGTATTGGATTCGCGCTGCTGATGAGTCCCAAATATAGAACGAAACGGCCGTCCAGTGCTTTCTGCATTCTGTTGAGATTTCTTTCAGACTCGATAAATCGATGACTCGATGAATTACTTAATTATAATTATCAAATCCTCCTAATAATTTCTATCATTTATATATATATATGTGTATCTATATATATATATATATATAGATAGATAGATAGATAGATAGATAGATAGATAGATAGATACACCTAGTGAGCCAGACAAACCTACCTAGGTTTCACCTAAACGGATCGTCAGGGAAAGTTTGGCTAACGAGGCAAAGAGAAACACATATTTATAGGTGATAGTTAAAATCATACCACGTGACAAAAATAAAAAACACATGACAAAAACAAAAAACAAAAAAACAAAAACAACCTAAGTGGTGGGGGGAAAATATTTATTCAACAAAAAAAAAACCTCAGTGGAAAGTTGTTACTCGTATCGGGGTTGGTATGGATGGAATAAAATTCCGATAACCAAAAACACTATTCTTAAAAGAGTGCTTAATACAAAGTAGAGCAAATAATATCTATTCAAAAATTATAAACTTATTTCTAGATTAATCTAACATTAACTTTAATGCACTAATATTTTGTATTTAGAGTATGTTGTCACGTTTTTTTAATAATATACTTTGTTACATTCCGTACCTGTGAACACTATAGTGTATGTTCCAATAATCATAAATACGTTGGACACTACTGTAAGTGGGGGTAATATGCTGTATAAGTAGTCAACACAGTGGCTTACCTACTTCACGCTGCTGGCGAGTATTATATTTTGTTGATGTTATAAAGATTACCATTTCATTTCCAACCTACTATTTGGTTATTCCTCTTTCAAAAATCTTTCCTAGGTTACAACATACTTGTATTCTGATTGGTTATCATAGGTTACGTTACAATGTTTCCCCTGTTGAGAGGGTTTGGTTGTTTTTTGAACTCTTAAAACCCTTTATTTTGTAATCGACACCATCACTTGATAAGACACCAGAAGTGTTGAAACAAAATGGCTATTTTTTGTAGTGATGTTATAACATAAATAACTTATGATATAATTTTTGAATAAATATCGTATATATATATATATATATATATATATATATATATATATATATATATTGAGATGGACTAAATCCGGCAATTATTTCAATATATTTTCTGTTTATACATTATTTTTATAGATACAAATATTTAAGTAAATGGCCTGTTTATAATAAACAGGATTAACTACATTTACAGGCTTGAATGTCCGAGAAATTTCATAGAAAATATGTATCCTCCGACAGGAATCGAACCTGTATCCTATACGGAGATGTCATATAGCCTGACATGCTCTACCATTTAGCTACCTAGTAAGAAAAATAGCGTATAAAAATGTATAAACAGAAATTTTTTTTAAATAATTGTAGGACTTAATCCATTTCATAATATATGTTGTCATTCGTTTACGTTAAGATACGCTTCGAGCATGAACGTTCGAGAAAAATCATGGGAAAATTGTTTATTTAAAAACAGTAATTTGACTTTGCTAACCAGACGCTTCTTCTATAGGAAATAAACGGACACACAAAACAAACACAAAACACACACACACACACACACATATATATATATATATATATATATATATATATATATATATATAAATATATATAAAAAGTTTCAAATTGAAAAATAATAATGTTTTATTTTATGAAAGTATTTATTTATTTTTATATATATTTATATTTCAAATTTTCAATCTTTCATCAGAAATAACTGTTTATTTACAAATAAATTAAAATTACTCGTAACAGTAATTTTAATTTATTCATAAAATAAAATACATTATTATTTTCAATTTGAAACTTTTTCTATATATACATATTAAGAAAGTATACGTGGCTTCTCATTATGCTATATATATATATATATATATATATATATATATATATATATATATATATATAAGAGTAGATAAGTTGGTCAATAAAATAAAGTCAAACGAAAGGGTACCGATGTAATCATTACGAAAAACATTTATTAATCTTAACCAGGTGACAAAAATGAAGCACGGAGTTTGCAGTTCGCAACAATACTCACACATACGCACCGTAAAAAGAACCTTCACGTATTGAAGGCCATCTACATTAAAACAAAGCAAATCATACTCAACAAAATTTCGTTTCAAACTAATCACAACACATTGCAATAGATCTAAACATATGTTTCCGTTGTTAATATTTCGTTCTCTCGCGTGTTACAGCGTCATAGAACAGCATCACGAATTTACGAACTGCGTCTGCTATTCCACGATCGTTATCGTCGCATAGCAAACTTCTATGGAAACATAACAGGATATCCTTTTTGATGGTGAATATCTTTGTTGAAATGTCCATATAACCATTCTGATGATGGTGCATGTGAGT